GAGCCTCTGAAGGACTACAAGTACCGGTTCTCCACTCGCTTTCAGAAGCTCTGCTGTAATTCCGTCCTCTCCCGATGCTTTTACTATTATATTAATATTACTATTTAAGCAGTGTTCCTAATTATTAGATTCTATATCTTTATAGCTAGGCACATGTCTATGACGGTAAAAATGACATATATGTTACAATAGCCCTATTGCCAAAATATCACGCAGATATATGACGACATTTGAGTAAGCGGTTTTGGATATGTTTTTACGACCAGCCACCTGCCTGATGTCAACCCTCCTTAGGAAACATACACCCAGATCCGGAACAGTTGTCTGTGGGTCACACAAACACTTGTCCCGTGTGGGAATCGGACCCACGAAGCCCAACGCCGAAGCCAATAGCTTAGCAACGGCGCCAACAAGTCATCAACAACTAACAACAACAAACAACTAATATATAAATTCTCTAATTGCTTAAGTATTCCTACGTACTGTTGGCATGTTTTTTACCTTAACGAAGGTGTATAAAATGGTGCAACTAGTGTTGTCCTACCCAATAATTTTCTGTTATCGAAGCACGGAACATTATCGTATCCAAATATTTGTTTTCGCAAAAAGATAATAACTTAATCACCGTTATATCCTACGAACTTTTCAACTAGCCTGAAGTAACATTAAATTCTTACTTGACACGTGAAGTCGTAGTAATCATTTTTCAGGGCTGAATTTGGTTAAGTAAAATAATAATGTTATTTCTAACTTGACCAGAAAAATAGAAAACCTGATCTGTTGGGGCCGCATTTGTATCATCCCTGTTATTTTAATTGAGTGGTAAGAGTTAGTTCCATTGGTTTTCCGCAACATGGTATACTTTTTTTTGTTTTTCTGTTCGATTCAAATCTATCACTACATAGTTTAAACAAAGTCGTCCGGCTGTCTGTCTGTCCCTATGTATGCTTAGATCTTTAAGACTACGCAACGGATCTTCATGCGGTTTTTTTAAACAGGTAGAGTGATTCACGAGGAAGGTTTATATGTACATAAATTGCACCCGTGCGAGGCCGATGAGGGTCGCTAATAAACTATAAATGTTATTTGATATATTTTGTCGCGGAAGTAAGCTGATCAAATATCTGTATAATTGATCATATCTTCTGACATATATCATGCTATGTTAATTGAACTCCCCTATAAACGAAAAATTCCGCCGCATTTTAGACGAAGTGATCATCTAAATCCCATTCTATCTTAAAATATGTAGAAGAAGTACGAAAAGACTGTCGCCGCTGTGGGAATCGAACCCACGTCTTCGGCATTCGCGGCCTGACGCTCTAGCGGGCTTGACGATTTATGGTGGTAGGGCCACGCAGCAGCCTCGGCTGTTGCACGAATGGGCGGGCTCGTCCGGGTAAGTGCCACGACCTCACAGAAGACCGGCGTAAAGTGGAAGTATAATACTTTCGCGTTTCGTCTGGTGAGTGAGGTGGCCGGAGCCCAATTTTCAAAAGGTTGTCGACGCATCTACAACCCTCGGGCTTGGCAGATGTCTATGGGCGGCGGTATTCACTTAACATCAGGTGAACTGTCTGCTCGCTTGGCAACTTTTCACATAAAAAAAAATCCACTGAGCTAAACGGCTGATAGCCACCGCTACGAAAATCTTAACGCCTTCTTTCTACATTGTTATTTAGCATTTGAAGCAATGCTTGGCGTATCTATTGTTATATCCTTTCCAGCATACAAACCCATTCTATCTATTGTTTCCAGTTGATCATCGCGATAAACCGATTATCGATCAGTTTGCGCAGTCCGGGGCGTCACTAGCGCTATGGGCATAGCATCGAGGGTTCGACCCTTCACAAACACGTCTAGCCTCGTGTTGACTTTCCAATCGATCTCAGGCACGCCGGGCGGGTTGCTAACGCACGCCCGTGTGAACTTATTACGATTAACCTCCCATAACTTAAGGGCTAGGCACGCCGTACGCAGCAATAACAATGCAAAGCTTTAGACTACCTACGGAGTTTCCTCAGCGTTAGAAGAACCTCTTTATGAAATTGTGATAGATTAAAAAAATTACTATGTATAGATGAAATGTACGTTTGATATTTCGAAGATTTTGTAACTGGCAAATAAATTGCAATCGTTGACTGCGAATACGGCGGACTGATAGATGCGGTCACCAAAGTTACGTTATTTTGCTTGTATCATAATATGTTATTAATATAATAATATGTTTTGCGATTTCAAATATTTACTTTAATTTATATGAAAGAAAAGTGCGCACCTTTCAGCTAACAAAACATTTACCTGACTTTTCTGGTATTATTTACAGAAAAATTAAATCCAGGCCTAAATAATAAATTCTGGGCTTTTAAACCTTTACTTATAATAACAATAACAGAGCAAAAGTAAAGCGCGATTGACCACGCAGATGCCGCTTATTGATGTGTTCACCAAATTAACCATTATTTACAACGTGTTACTAGTAAACCAAAAATTTAGTAACATTGTTTAACGTATAAAAATGCTTATAAACTTTCGAGAGGGATAATTAACACTCGTTTTTTTATATTAACTCCCTTGATGGTCTAAAATTGAATAGATTAGAAACGTAACGACGTATTCGTAGTTGTAAAGTAGCTTTGGAACAGACGCCAAAGGAGTGGCTTTCAAGGAACAGCTTCCAATTGAAGGTGAGTAATATTGATCTAACAGCTTTTGCCGGCGTCACTCTCTAAGTACAAAACCAAACAGACAGTCTATGCAAACTAATTGAAACAAATGAAACCTACCAACCGTAGCAATATAAAGCTTTTCTTTTCTTTTCTTTATATTAATAAGTATTGATTTCATAATGATGTTACTTACAGTCATATGACTTTGGCAAGAGTTATAAATTAATTTGTCGAAAAGAAATATTTACAATTTGGAGTACTGCATAAATTAAATTGTTATCTACGAAATCAAGCCCACGCGTCATGTTGCCATAAACGCTACTTGCATTTCCAGGCTGAATATGTTTATCCTTTTAGCGAGAAAATTACAAGCCTTCTTGTCACCCGCGGCAACGATCTAGAGTAGACCATAAAAAATTCAAAAATCATAAATTTGTATTATTTCTAATTCTTTAGCAATATGTTACTATAACAATTACGTTTGCTAGTAGAAAGAAGATTTCTTTATATTCATTAACGCAAAAGCTATCCCACAAAACGCACTAGCTCAGTTAAATCCTATTGACTCTTGTCTTGAAGATAGCCACGTTATATTCGAACATAATGATCTGCGTGAAAATACTACTACTATTAAAGCGTATTAAGTTTGAAGAGTTGTTTATTTCGACGTTGTAATGACTCGAACATTTAAAATCTGATCAGTTAATAATCTCAAATTTGACCGCTCAGTTTTAATAACAACATTTTTCCCATGTTTGAAATGTCTCTAAATCGTACACATTGCGCATTCTTGACTACTTAATAAAATAAAAGTGTGCCACATTAAGGTTGTTAAACTGTGAGCACATATTAATTGCGCCGTAAGACAAATAATACTCTCTTTACAGAAACGTCTGCGATGCAAAAAAGCAAAGCGACTTAACTTTCAAACACATACGTAATATTAGCACGCACGAAAACATTTACGAAAGGTGCAACGGCTTCTTTAAAGTGGACCGGGCTCGAACATAAAGTGGAGCGTGAAAGAGATCGCTAACAGAATGTAAGGTGAATACAACTGTGAAAATTACGACCCCAAAACGAACTAACGCGCACCTTTTTCTCCATTGTTGTGTATCCATTATATCGATGGCGCGTGGCGGGCCCGTCGTTAGGAGCCCGATTTTATTAAACAAACATAATATTCATTCTTTATCCTATATATGTTTTTTTTTTTTTATGCGAAAAGTTGTCAAACGAGCAGACGGTTCACCTGATGTTAAGTGAATACCGCCGCCCATGGACATCTGTTACACTCGAGGGTTACAGATGCGTTGACAACCTTTTGAAAATTGGGCTCCGGCTACCTCACTCACCAGACGAAACGCGAAAGTATTTGTCATACTTCCACTTTACGCCGGTCTTCTGTGAGGTCGTGGTACTTACCCGGACGGGCCTGCCCATTCGTGCAACAGCCGAGGCTGCTGCGTGGCCCTACCACCGTAAAATATGTGCTCTAGTATCTTAGTAATGAACATCGATATTCCTTTTTAATGTGATGAAACGGCATCGGCTTACAAAACAGCTCCTGCTCCACTAGGCCCGGGATAACTCGGCCGGGGAAGTACAATGGAATAGGCCAACTCGGGGAAATCCCACGGCCACGCAAAAGACCGGTGTAAACGTCTTTATACTCTTACGTTTCATCCAGGGAGTGTGGTAAACAGAGACTAACTTCTCAGTGGTTGACAAAACCAGCCTGTAAAATCCGTCATTAACCGTCAGTTGAACCGCTTGCTCTGTATTCATTGGTTCAAATTAAACGAAAAAGATTAAAGGTAACAAGAAGCTGCACCTGCAACTGATCACAGTAAAAACTTTTAAGAATGTAAACAATGAAGCTGTTATAATAGAATATACAACTAAATTTAAAGTTCAAAGCAATGTGGGTGGCCTAAAATACAGGATTTGCTAAACTAAGCATATCCTGTATTTTAGGCCATCAGGTCCCCCTCCCAGTTATCAATATGTACCCACTATAAATGAATTACAGTTAACCAAAAACAATACATTCATATAATAATTTCCCAAATAAAAGAGTCCTTGGAAATGAAACTTACACAGACAAACGCTAACATCGATGTACATTAAAAATCGCATCGAATACATTAATAGTATTAACTTGATTATGCGTGTTAGAATTACATTAAAGACCACGTTATCCTATAAACCTGCGACGGAGAACTAAGCAACGTTGGTCACGCAACGTTGTTCCCGGAACGCTGTATCGATTAAATTAACGATGCTCGTTAAATTAATCAACGATGTTCTAATTTTAGCTTCTGTTAACAGATGGATGGCGCCGGTGAGTTTGGCGATTCACGCTCCGGGAGCGGACCTAGCGCCCACCGTCGACAGTATTCGGTACCTTCGCGATTGCCTTGGCAACGATTTGATCCGTCAATACGTCACCTTCCACGTGTTCTTCTCGAACAAGCACATCCCTAGTAAGGTGCGTATTCATTTAAACAAGAAACGAGCAGGCGGGTCAACTGATGCCTGTATGCGCGCAACATCGTGCAAATGCACTTGCGTTGTCAACTTTCAAGACGTTTAATTTCTCACTAGATGAACTTGTTAATGGACTTGATAGCGTGCAGACTGCAGTACAGTATGAATCATGACGGTATGACACAGCTCATGGTAGTATGAATAATTTTGGACGCAAAGTGTGTTCTGGGTATGAATTGTGGAAGAGCCACCCATCAGCTTCTGCAGTTGCAGGAATGGGCAGACGCATCTGGGGAAGTACCACGGCCTCTTAGAAGACCAGCGTTCTGGTGAGTGGGGTAACCGGGATCCACGTCTTTTAAAGATTGTCAACGCATCTGCAAGCCCTCGGATGTTTAAGATGTCCATGGTGGTACTCACTTAACGTGAGGTGAACCGCCTGCTTCTTGACGACTTTCACATAAAAAAGAAATTTTAGTGCTAGTCTCTGCACTTAATAAGTCAATGGTACTAAACTGTCTTTTGTCTTTGCCTATTTACGTGTAGATAATTACTTTTTTCCTTCAACTGACGTTTTCGCTTTCAGTCGGTATACTATCAAAGGTTCATAGAATGCGGAACTTGCGGGCTAGCCAGAAGTGGGTTCTGGCTGACCTTGATACCGCCCTCCGCGATTGGTCGGCCGCCTTTTGATAATATTCACCCGTTAAGAGTCGTTCTTTTCCTCTAGATACCAGACCCGGAGAGCTTTCTGCTGAACCCGTTCAATTGCACCAACCAGCCGCCGTACGACGTCAACGCCTCTGCGACGTACATGAAGACCAAAAACCTGCTGTATCCGGTGAACGTAGCCAGGAACGTGGCGAGGGACTCCGCCTTGACCCACTTCATACTTCCGTCCGACATCGAACTGTATCCGAGTCCCAATCTCATACCGCGATTCCTGAACATGATCGCTAGGAACGCCAAGCCGCTGAACACCTCCACTAAGCCCAGGGTCTTCCCCATTAGCATATTCGAAGTGGACGCCAAAGTTCAAGTGAGTCAATTACTTCTTTACCTTAATTTTATTTTTATTAGGAGGACTCCGTGGCGCACTTGCCATAGCCATCCGGTATACCCGTCTATAAGCCTATGTACGTCGGGGGTAGTGGTTCGATTCCCACACGCAACAACTATTTGTGTGACCCTTACATGGTTGTTTCTCATCTGGGTGTTTGTTCACATGTTGAACACATGATAATGTTATCCTAAAGTAAGGGCTTTTTTAGAGTAAAAAAAAATATTTTTTTGCTGATCTTGATGCTGGTCGGATAGGATAATAGTAAATCAGAAATTTGAATTTTTTGAATCATCTCTATCACGTAAGCTTACAAAAAATGAGTGCGTGTAACCTTTATGCGCGGTTGAAGTGAAACTAGAAAAATCTTTAAAATCATTAATAATAATTTTATTTATAACATTAATGATGTTAACTAGTAATAAATTCTTAATGTTTTTCATTTTAAATGTTATAGTTCTGGTACGTACATATATATAGCGTACCTAAATATTTTAAAATCGGATGCTATATAAACACGTCGTTGCCGTAACGCGGTGTCGGCGTCCAGAGCATTCAGTTACGCCTAAAGAAGTTTTACTATTACTTTAAAAAACGGCACCAGAATGGATTCATTCGTTTAGAAGCAACTATGCCACAGACAGACACGTGAAACATATAACACCCCTCTTTTTATGTTAGATTTAAAAATCGACTACGCATTTTACGTGAATAACTATGTACATGTATAGGCATTGTTAATAACCTAATGATCTTTAGATATAACTTTAACTTTGAACGTTTTCATACATTAAAACATTAAAGTTTTTATCTATATTTCTGAAAGGATTCCGATGTTGACATTTATAATTAAAATAGACTTAGCGTATTTTTTCGTCGTTCAAAACGAGCGAAATAATTTAAAAAATCGGCCAAGTGCGAGTCGGACGCGCGCACGTATAAATGTTTTTTATTCTGTTTTTATATTACTAAGAAATACATACCTAATTAATCTGTGGAAATTTCATGAGCCTGGTGACTGACAGACAGCGGAGTCTCAGTAATAGGGTCCCGTTTTACCTTTTGGTTACGGAACCCTAAAAACAGACTAAAAATATAATTGAACGCTCACGCGATCGTGGTTTATCGTTTCGGTAACTTTTGGTATTTTAATTTATTTTTTCAATTAATTTAAATAAAGGCCATAATTAAAAATAAATATTAAAATTTAACATTCTGGAGTAAAAAGAGAGTTTCAATATCGCCTTCATAGCTATATCCTTTTTTTTTATTTGAATTGGATTAGCGTATTTCATTTTTCCCATACAATTTAAAAATAAATATACTCTTGACAACATTCGATACGCCATATAAAGTTTCTTCAAATTTCAAAGCAATTTTAACTCCTTTGAAATTTGAATTTAGAATAATAGATGAGTAGGTACTTGGACTTTGCCGATAGTATGTTACGCATATTTTACGCCATTATCTCAACATCCTCGACGCTTGGTCCATGTTAAATTTTATATTTAGCAATACGCATCGCTATTGATTAATTGTGGTTTGACTAATAGATAGAACAAAAAAAAAACAGATATTTCCTGAACAAACTAAAAATGACAGCAGGGTCACATATTATTATGTAAAACCTTAAAATTCTCGTATAACCAGGAATTGTAATAAAATAGAAACTTAGTTGTGCATTCTTTTAAGCTATAGTAGAGCTTCTGCGATTGTATGTTTGGGTCGGCTCGTGAAAGAACTACCTAAGGGCGGCATAAATAAGATAAAAATTATTTATTTACATTCTTGCTTATCTATGTCTGGGTTGGCAACACAACTTCCAAACTGTGGCTGATGTGGACGTCAATGGAATGTGGTTATTTTTTTATGTGAACAAGTGGCAAATGAGCTAACGGTTCACCTATATTAAGTGAAAATCGCCGGCCATGGATATTTGCAACACCCATAAGGTTGCAGATGTGTTGCCAACTTTTAATAAAGTGGGTCCCGGCTACCTCACACACCAGACGAAACGCTGAAGTATAACACTTCAACTTCACGCCGGTCTTCTGTGAGGTCGTGGTACATACTTCCACGAATGGGCTTACCCATTCGTGCAACAGCGAACTGTTGGATGGCCCTACCACAGTTAACATAACCTATTAACCTGTCATACTCGACTGCTTCTTTATTGTAGTACCGGTTTCAGGGAACATGATCATCGAATTTTAGTTCATTATAACATTAAGTGTCATTGAATTAAAATTTATTTATTATAGTTAATTAATAATAATAATAATTTTTCAGGTGCCTTCTACGAAAACTGCGTTACAAGCGATGTTGGCCAAGAAGACAGCAATACCATTCCATAAGTACGTGTGCCCGAATTGCCACAACATACCGCAAGGGCAGCAATGGATGAACGCGCCAGAAACAAACCGTGAGTGTGAAGCCACATGTTTCTAGATCTACAATATTCTATTACGACGTATATATAAATATATAATATATAATATAATATATATAATATATAATATTATTACTGAAAAGCCAGCTTAATATAACTAAAAGAACAAAAATGAATCAGAAGGCTATTAAAAGTTTATAAATAACTGTGTAAAAGTGAAAAATATATTAAAAACTTCAGACCACAGAAAGAGAAAGGATTTGTTAAGTTACAGTTTTATTTATTAATGAATTTATTAGCAATGAATCATATTATCTCATATTATAAACGTAAAATACAAAACATTCTCCGGTATTTCTAACGTCCCACGAATTATGAATTCATTAGTAATAGTTACCCTAGATATGTATTACATTGACACTTTGTTTTAAAGAAACTAGCTAGCGCTTTACTTCTGCAGCTCTGATGATAAGCAGCGATACAGCTGTGTATGGACCCTATATTCGGGGAGATATACAGAATTATTAACGTCACTTGAATACCACGTTTGTCAATCCGTACTGAATATTGAAGCACCTAGGGCATATAGAACCAATCCAAATCGTTTAGTGACACTTGAATACCATAACGTTTGTCAGGTCGTACCGAATATTGAAGATACTGAAAGCTAAGCGACGTCCTTTGTCTTATTCGTCCGAGCAATCAAGCCTTCCAACGGCCATCGACCCGACTTAACGACTGCCATTCGCTAGCTAGGAGCCGGAACTATGCCCTAATGTCTCACAAAGTGCGGACATGCAACGAAAATGTAGCGCGAATTGATATATAATGCTGCAAGCTGCTACATTAATTAGTCTTTAGTCGGCTCTGAATAACAGAAAAAGAAATGATGAATTTCCCTTGGAAAAAAAAAGAAAATTATAAACACTATCCTGATTATTTATCTTGTTAACGCAACAGCGTTGATTCATTTGATAATATACGAATGAGTAAAATATATTTGAGGTCTTAAAAACTACTACTTACATTATTAATGAAGCTAGTGTATATGGTTCAATAAAAATAATAATAAGTAAATATTTATCTTCGTATAAGGTTTTAGATCATGAAGATGAAAAAATCTTATATTTTCTGAAGTCTGCGAAGTTAATATTTAAACACATTTAAAAATGCACTAAATACGTAAAAGCGTGATTAATCTACGATACACTATTTTAGCCATTGAATGTTTTCTTTCAAAATGTTTTATTTTTTTTACATAAGACTTAAATGATTCATACATAACATTTACGTGCTAGATGCGGATAAGCCCTAAGAATTATATTCTTATATATGAAAGTCAGATTGCTTTAAAAGGCAAGCATTCGTAGCTATTTTAAAATAAATATGACTTATGGTCGAATCGATCACTTCTGCATCTATTATGACACGGGCCATCATTGCTAATCGTCGGCAATTACTATGGGGCTGCAATTAATCTTGTGCAGCAAGAGTCGTGAGCTATTTATGCCAGCTGGAACAAGCCATGGCCGCCGTATGGGGCATTCTAATTGCGTATAATGGTTCAACGAACTCGGCTCAGTCGCGTTTCCCAGACGTTCGGCGCAAACTTTTACGCAAATTCGCAAAATCCGCCCGAATGCAGCGTGCAATGATAATGAGATCGCCGCCTCTGACGGAATTAAATTACACGCCATTGAAAATTGTTATAACTGAAGATATATTTGCCTTTGTTGATGTACACAAACAACAATAATAATTATTACATTATTGACTTATTTTTTTTTACCAAAATTTGCAATTGACCGCTCGAAACGGTTTAAAGTATTTTTCGACAACACACTTATTACTTATTTCTTACGGTTCCAAGGCCGCTAGGAAGGCATAAGAATACTTTTTAAAGTAATTTAAATGTCACTGTTGAAAATTATTATACCGACAGAATACATTTTCGCTTACTCGCAAAAAAATAAATTCTCCCAACTCTTAGCTTAAACTCGATTTTTACCGTTAATAAAACTCTGAATAAATCTCACATTTACTAATATTGTTATTGTAAATTATATGTTGCAGAAATGGACGTATTCCATGTGGGCAAACGGCGAGGCAAATACGTCCATTGGGAGCCAATCTTCATCGGGACTCACCAAGATCCTCATTATGATGAACGGCTCAGCTGGGAAGGCAAGAAAGACAAGATGACTCAGGTAAAATGAAGAAATATTAAGACGGACCTTCCCTTTCCGTTCCTCAAGTCCATGTTCCAAGTTCCTCATCCACTCCTAATTCTTTAATATCAATTAAAGTAAGTCGTTGATAATGCAAAATAAATAGGTATATTCAAATTCAAACACAACTCCACAAAATAATCATTAGGAAAATCTAGTTCTCATGTTTATTTCATATAAGTTCATCATCATCATTTAACCCCGTTTGAGTGCACTGCTGAACATAGGCCTCCCCCTCAGATTGCCACGAAGTACTTATAGTATCCTGAGTCACTTGCATCCATCATATAAGTTAAATTGGTGAATATTATTACTTACAAAGAGATTAAGAAAAAAAAAAGGTGATAAAACAACACGTAACACTAGAACAATCATAAAACACTCATATGTGCTTATCCATAAATTAGAAAGGCCATGTAACTAACAGTCCTTCTGAAGAGCGCGGAACTTTGCACGTGTGCCCAACAATGAACATACTGATTTCGCTGCGACCGTTAGGCTCGTGATTCCGGAATTAATTCCGATGCTCTTAAGTTCATGGGCGCGTGCTTAGAATTCGAACTGCATTTCTGCAAATTCACACGATCACACACACACACACACACATATATATATATTCGTTACAGCCAGGCGAGGGAATACTCAACACGATAAATGGATTTCCGTAACAATACTTACATTAACTCTTTGTCAAACTGTAGTCAGTTTCTTTCTGATATTCTATTAAAACCATAATAACTAACCTGAATTAACCGCGGGCACAACCGTTTTGCGAATATTTAAAACGTTTTGTTTCGCCTATTTCAGGGTTACATCCTCTGCGTGAAGGATTATGACTTCATGATACTGAACAATGCTTTCTTGATCCACAAGCCTGGCATCAAACACTACGTAAAGAATCCCAAGAGGGACGCCATCGCTGGCCGACAGTCGACCTTTGTGAAGAACGTCATCATGCCCGAGTTAAAAAAACTGTACGGAAACAGAAATGGATGCGCGCTGTGACCAATATACAGATTAAAAATCCAAACGCTCAACAGGCGAGTGGCGCGCTAATCAAAGGAACAGACAAGTTTTGTGTAGAGACAGTGCGACTTTCGCCTTCTTTGACGAAAGAAAGACTGTAGACTTAATTGTGCATAGAAATGAAACATATCATATTGTATCTTTTTTATTTGCTTGAAACTATATACGGTAGTGTTAAATATGCTAGATTGTATCTTGTACGCGATTTATAATATTAATAAAGTGCCTCATGGATGTAGTTATGTGCGGAGACGACCAATTATATGACTTCCTTACTCAAACACATTCGAACATACCGTCTTAAAGTAAGTATACAATATCAAAATTTCTGTCCAGAATGCTAATGAAGTATGTACAACATATGATTTAGGGTGCCAGTTAATATATGTTAGTCTTTTAAGACAAATTTAGTATGTTAATTACATGGAAGTCCACTGTTTATGTACATTTTTTTATCAGCGTAACGTATCCATCAAATCATTTAAGATATTATAATTAATTTTAATAACTTATGACGTAAGCGACGGCAAGAAATCTCATAAGGTGCAAGTTAAGAAGGCTACTTGACTCACGCATTTAAGTACTTCTTGATGGTAACCGATTTTCATTAATATCTTCATGGGACCGTCGAATATTTTATATTGTATGTCATTATATCATTTTAATTGTAATAGCAGTTCAAGATTTTTTTTTTATGGATGATTCAATTATGTATTTTAATGCAATGTGATGCTTGTATATTAGTAATTATGTACGTATTATGAGTATTTGATTAACACGATATTTAAAGGCTCGTTTCCTATTTTGCATTTTGCCTCAATGATATATCATATTGCATTAAGCGACAAAGTTTTTAATATAATCGAATTAAAATTGTTAAGTCACTACTATAAGCATAGGTTAGTGCCGGTGTAATCTCGACAAACTGTTTTAAGATATTCCGATATTTTGAGAAGCGAATTTTCTAAATTTTTTATTCAAGCTAAGCGATATGTATTCAAGCCTAATTAGGTATAAAGTGACTTAAGATATGTGATAGGCCTTACGATGTTTATGGTGGCAGAAAAACGTAACTAAGTGTTTAAACTCACCACGTTCGAACTAAAGTTTTAAGTTACACGTAATTTATGTAAAGGCAAATTAGTTTTAATCATTTATATACTTTAATTTTATTAATATATACTTTCACACGATAATTGACGACTATGATTATGTAAGTCCTTATTGTAGATTATTTTAGTGGTAGATCTATTTGTAAAGGGGGTTTGGTTATGGTAAACGCATGTGGTGAGTTTGCACTTTTAGGCAGAAAGTGCCTCCTAGTATATAAGTGCAATACCTATTGAAGAGTCTCTCGATGTGATCATTTACGAAAAATGTATTTATCAACATGTAATAGTGCGTTAAGTATTTTACCGTGTACGTAAAATTTTCATACGAATATACAGGTGTAATCTGAATAAAAAAAAATTAAAATCAGCTACCGGCATTTTATTGCTTTACATGTAATATAATCAAATCAAATCATTTATTCAACGAAATAAGAAACATACCCACATTTCTTCTATCGTTTTTTTAAGTTACCACCGTTTCGTGATGAGGTTCCTCTATCGAAAGAAAGAGGCGAAAGAAACTTCGTAGGTATCCTTAATCTAATAATAGGACAATTATTTGCGATTTCAAATTATAACCCCTTTTAAGCATGATAAAATCCTATTCATCACGACCATAGTCCTGAAGATACAACCACGTTATAGTTCATATTTGTCGGAGTATCTACCAGAATTCTCAGTTCTTTCATTTATTTGCTGCGTCTACTTATGATACACGATAATAAAAACCTTTTGGTTTGAGATGGTGAAATAAAGAATGGAGGGATGCCAGTCATTCAACAACGGAACCATACGAGTAGGCACACTGCAGAATACATCTCGATATAAGCCGAGAGTTCAGCTGCTCTGTGTCTTTGAACCAAACTCTATTTGTTCTCACAAGCCCTAGCCTCCTCGATGTTCCTACTTTTACATGCTAAAATATGACAGTAGTCAAATATGCGTTGCCACCTTTTACTAAAGTGGAACCTGGTTACCTCACTCATCAGACGAAAAGCAGAAGAACACTTCACGCCGCTCTTCTGGGAGATCATGGTACTTTCCCTGATGGACATTCCCATTAGTACAACAGTGAAGACTGTTCAGTTGACTTAATACTTAACAGTGCCAGGCCCTACCACTGTTAAGTATTAAGTCAACGTGACTTATTTGAGAAATGTAATAGTGTCCTAATAGTCGTGTATTGTGAACTTGTGTAGACGTGAGCTTTTGAGTCGATTATCTTGATGATGTTTTAAGCAAATCAAAGTAAATGGTAAAATAGGTGCAAATGAATCACAGAAAGTACATAGGCGACAGTGAAGTGGTAGATCTGTGTTTACCGGCGTGAAGTGGAAGTATGTATTATACTTTCGCATTTCGTCTGGTGAATGAGATAACAGGGTACCTACTATTTTCTTAATGTTGGAACAGATTTGCATCCCTCCCGTCGGGTGTTGTAGAAATCCATGGGCGCCTGTAATAACTTAACATCACATGAAACATCTGTTCGCTCTCCACATAAAGTAAAAAGTAAAGTAAAAAATGCAAAGAAATGCAACAAACGTTATAACAAACGTTTTTTCTGAAAAAAAAAATACCACATCAAGTACGTACATCAAGTTTGAAACAAGCAGACCGATTTTAAATATGATAATAAAGCATTACGCCCCGGATTTTGCGATGATTAGTACTATTTTAGATGATTAGTAGTATGGTAGATGATATTGTTCTTTTGTCAACACGTATTTAATTTAATGCACTTATTTCCCAGATCACCTAATACGGACTTCCTGAGAAATTATGCATCTGGATCACCAGATTTCTCACTCATCGGAGCATAAAAGTTCTTATGGCATGCTCCGACGTTAAACTCGTGGACGCTGGTGTCCCACAAGGTTGCGTCATATCCTTACCTTGTTCCTTCTGCCAACATTCATTGCTATGCCGATGACTCTACGGTGACGTCTTATATATCGGCTGGGCATATATTTACCGTGTATTTAAATTTCACTGTCATATATAGTCAATGAATGTATGCCGAAAGAAAAAATATATGTTTAATCTCGAAAAAGAAATGTATCTCGTCGATACAGGCTTGCCTAGTAAGGAGACAACTGATATTACATTTATACATAAAAAAGTATCTGCAAATTGTACTTGAGGAAACTTTTCTATATTTTATTTATAAGTTTATTTTAATTTAAGGTACTTTTTGTTGTAAATAAAATGTTTTAGTTTTATTACCTAGTCTTATACCGCATATGGAATACTGTTCTCAATTTCTGGGGGAATTAAAATACTTACAAAAGGAATATATTAGAGATTGTTTAAAGAATACCGAGTTGTGTCGTCGCTAAAATATTCACAACAAACAGTTGACTTAAAGAATAGCGAGGAATAACTTTTTATATCTCGATACTAAATAACAATAGCCGATTTAATGTATTTAAAACAATATAAAATAGCACCTTACATTTTAACATAGCAAAGTTGTGAGTAAGACGAGCGATAAAAAATTCCACGTGATACGTGTACGGATAATGATATGCCACCCTTGCGAAGCCGGTATATAGTAAAGGATACATTTATTTGAAACCTTTTTTATAAATCTAACTTTATTTGGGCAACTTTGATTTTTTTCAATATTTCGTATCCACTATTGACTTTCGGGTTAGTTTATTTTTTAATAATAAAGATATAACAAAACTTTCGCTCGGCGGGATTCGAACCTGCGTCTTCTGGTTTCGCGCCCAGTCGAACAACTAAGTAAAGCGGTCGACGACGTCACGGCGTGAAAATCTCGACATCCATCTACGGTCTTGCTATTGCATTTTTACCAATGCTTGCCCCATGAAGGGTGCATCCTTTACAGCATATAAAAATTTACAAAGAACATTCAACGATGAACATTTGTCGCCATTGCTTTTAATTTTTTTTAGGATTCAATTTATTTTTAATGGTATAAAAAGCAAAGCAGCCTGACATTTTCCTTGAATTTTAATTTAACAATCACGGCTTACTTAATCGTCGTCATGCCTCCTTGTTAAATTTTTGATACTACGTATATATGCATATATTTGATGGTTCTTGAATAACTGGTTTGATGTCAAATACTTGATAAACGAGGAATCAAGAAAACTCATCAAAAGAGATCTAACGCTAATTATAATAAAATTGATGATCCCGCTCGTTGTCACCACAGTAGGTTTTTTTGACACATTTCGTGAACTTTTATCGCCTTTAAATTAGCTTCAACCTCTTTTGGACGCATTCTAAACTTATGGCGACAAGTTTAATTTAAGAATGCAATTTTTACTCGTAAATACTAAAGGCATCATTGTCATAGATAATTATTATGTAACCTTTTAATGAAACTGGAGTCTTTAAGGTCTCGCGTCTTGTCACTGACATTTGACTACATTACCGCAATATATGTACATAAATCGTGTTTCCTTCCTATATCGATGTGAACAGTTGCTGTTCTAGAAAAACTACGACCTATGAAGATGTCGCCATTGATATAAATATTTATTTAATATTCCGTATAAATATAGTTTAAAAGTGGAATTTTAAAATGCTATTCTGCAATGTCCGTGCGGTTGTGTGAATCATAATGATTTCATACTTTGAGTATTTTTCTTTTATGTTACGCATCATAAAGGTTAAATGTGGAATCATTATACGATGTATATAAAATAGAATTATAATATTTGCTGTAACTTTTACGAAGTACTACTTGGTTTTGTAAGGATATAAATTTTTTTCATTAGTAACTAGTAGTCTGCACCCCATTGTTCTTCCAATACTTTTACCAGATAAAGATGGTAATTTTTTGAAATTGTAAGTTATATCTGCCTTCTTATAGTCATTCAGGTATATTTATATTCTTCGTGAAGTAAAGTTAAATGTTTAGGACACATCCTTATACAATACTGACCATATCTTAGAGGGTAAAAGAATTTCACAGGCTAATACAGTATTTAAAACAATGCTAGAATAAGTGTCTTTTCAATTTTATAATAAATTAATGAATAAAATACTTTATTTTTATTTTAAACATAAAACGACCAAATGTCCAGTTTTGTACTATCGATATATACATATGTATGCTAGACTGTACCTTTTACAGTATCTCCACGAAGCGTTTTACAGTTAAATATTAAGCAATGGAATCGGTTTTCAAAATAACAAAACGCTGTATCGAGTAAATCAACAAAGGCGAAATCCAAAATTATACGAGCATGCCAACTGAACGCCGCGTTGAATACGAATCGGTTAGCGGGCCGAGATAAGGAAGCTGATCTCCGGCGAGTACGTGGCTTGGAAACTTTAATGCCCCACAACGGTTTTCCCCCTTCGGTTTAACATTTGAACAGCGATTTTCCATAAATCGTTGTCAGAGTCTCGGCATATGAATAAAGTTTAAACGGCCTGACCTACTATTAGAATAAAAGCTGTAAAACACAGACCTGGATTTTACAGTACAGTCACTTTTCGAAGGTATGAATGTGTCCGTATAGAACTATATCTTATGATTCCTTAGTTGATCATCAAAACATTTTATAATGTTCCATAAGATATTTACGTCTAGTTAAAAATAAATCTTACATAGTTTAAGTTATTGAATATCACTTATTTTAGTTTAGGACTCTAAATGATTAAAAAATGTCTTACATATAACAAAAAATGGTTTATTATACTAAGTAGTGACAAACTCTACGTATGTATACCCACTATTGGGTAGGGGAATATAGATTTTAAAACAAAGTTCCAAGTTGACATATTTTTAAAATATTTTTTTAATTACGTTCTCAATATACCAGTCTCCTGAAATCCTTCAGCGATTAGCACGTGGTGAATAAGCATTTAAAATTGCAATTTGCTGTCACTGGTGCAGGTGCGTCTCTCGATTTTTAACTTACGTTGTCCGAGTGTCCTCCGAGCGTCGCTTTTAGGGGTGTCTGAAACTCAGTACGGGTCTTGTGACGCCAATTGCATCGGCACATCACCATATGGCCCTACCGGGCATAATCGTGCCGGGGTCGCGGAAGGTTGCGTCTTCGTGTTCCCATGTCCCCGTGGGCCGATGCGCCAGACAGTTATCACGTGGGGTTTTAGTCGCCCGTTCTGACCCGGACCCCCACATATCCCTGTCGCTCCCCTAATCTACTGGCAACCAATAACGGGTTTTTCCCACGTTATGGTGAAAAACAAAAAAGGTTGCTCGAGTGTACTGAATTAAAAGCGAATGCTGTTGTGTTATCACGCCTTATATAATTCTTCTGTATGTGTGTATGTCACTAAACTCCTCCTAAACAGTTGGACTGATTTCAATGATTTTTTTTGTGTGTCTTCAGTTCGATCCGAGAATTGTTTAAATTCATAATTCGGGACACAAAATTTTATTTTAATTTTTTTATTTATAAGTTGTCGGATTTAAGTCGTGTGTACAGGAAAACGTCGGGTCCGCTAGTTAATTATATAGGTTGCTGACAGTTGCTAAATTCACGCTTAAATTTACACGATGGAAATATTTACGTGCACCGCTCAAAAAGCTCTGTAAAGGTAAAAAAACACGTTTTTTTTTAAATCTGTTAAGCGAGCTAATAAAATAAAGACAATTTTTTTCTAGGTAATGATCAATCGATGAAAGAATGTATTCCGTTAATGTGCCAAATCAGGTTGAAAAGAAGAGTCAACTTCAAAGAATTTCCGCAGTCCAGAAAGTAGCAGAAGCCCGCAGAACCACTTATTTATTACACTCGCCGTTAAAAAAAATTGTATGCCATTGACAATTAGGAATCATTCGTTAATTCGATTCGTAACGGAATTAACTCATCTCAGCGTTCAAATCGTTTCCTGCACTTCTTTTTGCTTAATTCTTTTAAGCCTAAACGTCATGTATCACTGGATAGTTTAGATAAATTAAAGATCCTGTAATAATATTGTTGGGAAGAGCGTGCTTGAATTGTATCAAAAATTTCAATCCGTAACAGTCGTCTAAAGGCGACATCCTTTTTCAAGCACCTCTTAAAGCAAGCACGTTTTTCTGAAATTTGTCACATCACTACTTTTAGAAGATTGTTCAAATTAATGGGTCCGATGTGATATGATGTTCAAATTAATGGGTCTGATGGTGGTGATATCACGGTGCGAATTTGTTCTAAAAGCAAATCGAGTTTCAAATTAAATATATACTTTCAATATAAATACAATTCAAATTATGTCGTGTATAGGTACGATGAAGGACATATGAAATTAAAACATTAGTTTTTCTTTTATATTAAATGGTAACAGGCTGGTGCCTCATTCAATTTATTTTTCGTAAAACTCAAGTTGTTGTTAAAAATAATAAAGATAAAGAATAAAACCGTTCATTTTGTTGTTATTTATTTTCTATTGAAAATACGTAACCTTCTCGCGAGGAATTTTGCTATGGACAACCTGTTATTTTTAATGGTTTTATACTCTTTATGAACGTAATAAAACGTTTTTCACTCTAAATCATGTCGTTATAGATTCGAATTTAATCCTTATAACTTATAACCAGACTCCAGACGGAAGCTAAAGTTAAGCCGTGTGATCGTTTTCCTTAATATTAAAAAACTTTATTTTCAAGCGCAGCCCCATTTTGTGCAAACCACACTAGAGAAAGTATGCATGAAGTATCATTGAAGGAGTTAAACTTGCCTCAGAGATGAATAGCATAAAGGCCCATTTACACGATGCCATTTTCTTGTACATACAAGAGCAATAATTGAATGCAATAAATTGCGCGCAATAATTGTTTAGAACATTTGTTGTTTAGACCATGCAACTCATTTATTGCTTCAATTTAATTGTATACAACAGGCAAGAAACTGGCACCATGTAAATGGGCCTTAAACCTTAGCCGCGCAACTACAATAATAATAATTGTTTATTTCCCACCACAAACCAAGTACAAAACAAGGTCTTAAATATGCTATGCAATGTCATAATGTTAAATTACATTTTTGGTTGTAGAACACAATCACTCAGGATTTTTTGTTGTTCATAGGCAGCAACAATCACTTATCATAAGGCGGACACCTGTTTACCACTCATATTAAAAAGAACGCAACAAAGACAGTAAATTAAATCTTACTAGAAGTGAAATATATTAATCGTGAAGAACATTCTTGTCCCATCGTGTCATTAAAGGAATATTACGAGCAAATGTTATTTAACATTAATGACTATTCTAAGTCAAAAGGAATCTTATAAATATTAATAATTTGTAATAAGATCTCACGTAGTTTATTTTGCGTATTCCACATCGTAACCATTAAATTTTAGTTAAGCTTACAGTTAAATCGTGTGTGGAATAAATTATTTAAAAATCGCTTTGACAGTTAGGGCCTATTAAACTATAATGACGCATATGGTTTTAAATAACATTATGTATTATAAAGGTACGGTTATCTTTTTTGCATTGGCCTTTAAATATTCAGAAGGTATAAAGCTTTGACTATTAAAGACTACCGGAGAGTAGCATCAATGTATTGGTAATAGTCCAGGACCCTTTACAGTTTGCCCTCAGTTGGCTTGGAATGAAGACATAGCGTTTAATGTCTGACGGCTTTCAAATATGTCTAAAAGAAAATTATTCAATACTCTAAGATTAAATCCTCAGTGCATAAATAATAGAGAGTGGTCATTGCACGAATAACTAACGAATAAATAAAAATACTCATTTAATATACAAATTACATACGCATAAAAGACATTTATAATATATAAATATATACATAGAATAATAATAGTAATAAATATAGGTAGAACATTGAAGATCATTGAAAAGTCTGCGGTATATATTTTTTAATCGAAACAAAAGTGTTCTCTAAACTTTCAAAGAACAATTGATTTAAAAACTATAAAAACATAATATTTAGATAGACTACACCCAGATTAAACTTGACCAATAAAGCTAAAGTTCAAGATCGGCTCTACATATCTTCGAACCGCTCAAGTCAGACAAATTGCGGTAGGAAGGAGGTCAAAGCACAAGGTTACGTAGTTCTATGCGTTCTCGTCAAACAGATATCTTCCCATAAACCTGAAAGTACTGCTCTAATAAAATTAAGCCGCTTATAGTTGATGCAGATGTTGATGCAGACGAGATGGATAAAAGTCAATCGTTCGTTTTTCGACAGGAAGTCCCGGCATTGGCAAGGGACGTAATCATCGTGCACGGTTATTATTTACAGACGTCTCGTATATCATTACAAATCAAGGCGTACATTGCGCACGGGCTCGAGTTTCAAGAGGAGAGAACACGCACAATGCAGCCGAGATCGGATCGTGATATTAACGGCGTGCTGAATAATTTGGTGTACTCAGGCAACGGACCCGTACGCTTCGGATATCGAGCGTGTATCGCGAAAATTGGAGGATTCGCGCCAGACTGATGTAACAAGGCGCGGCCGGTGATGAGACCAGGTTTCACAATAGGTCCGTCTGTCCCCAAGGTCGCATCTTCTCGACTCCACCGACACGCCATTCATAGCTTGTTCGAAGCTCGTCGCGAACGTGTTGTACGGGTGGTCGAAAATATGAGGACCTTTGTGATATTAATTTCCGTGTGCGCTGTCGGTGAGTAAAGCTAAAGTTTTCCCACTTATTTCCCCCCATCGTTCGGGCCAAAGTTTTAACCGAAAATCTGTCATATAAAAAAATTTATAGTACTGTTTTCTAGTTTTTATTTATATTACAAATAAGCTGAATGCTCGTGTCATTATTAAAGTTTAATACAGGTAATTATTAGGTATTATTGCCCGGTGGTCGAAATTCGACTATAATTAATTATACATGGTTGTATGTGTAATGTTTTTTTTTAATGTATTTTAGGCATAATTCTAAAAATATTAGCATTCTGCATTCCTTCTCTATATAAACTATAAGTGTGGAAAATTTCATGCTACTCCGTCCACGCAATCCCCAAAAAAATTCCTAAAAAGGGTACAAAGATTTTGCTTCACGTATTAATATATAGATAATACTTCATCTAATAATGAAGTATTCTTAATAATAAATATAATATTGTTTATCTCTAAACTCAACCAGACGAGAAAACAAATGAATATCCCCCCAATATAATCAGATGTCAAGTTCTTACCACTTTCTATTAAGTAAAATTTTCCATTTATTTATTGTCTACGGAGACATTTGAACGTTTGACTAGAATAATTAGGTAACACGCGAGATTTGCAGTAAACAATGCCTTCATTGAAATTGTCTATCAATGTAATAAAATTAAGAAACAGTTAAAATTTATACAAGGTGTACAAAATTTTTAATGTCAGAAAATTTTCTACACTTAAAATTAGGTCTCAATTAGTATTAGTGTTACTTATATTACTCATTAATTCGAGTAATTATTTTAAAAAGATGCATTTTCATGTGGAAACATAATAAATATTATTCGTATTTAAGCGAACTCGAACTCTAAAGGACAACAATAGAATCTGCATACACATTTTGTGATTCTAATATAAAATATATGTTTAAAAATTTCATAAACCCCATTGCAGAACCAATCTGAGCATAAGTAAAATATTTATAAAAGAACGAAGTCATTCCCTTAACTATAAAAGTTTTGCTGTTCTGTTTAACTCGTATAGTATGATTAAGTTAATTATTTCAAAATCATATCTGCCCATTACTTATATCTAAAGAAAACTACTTGATTATTAAAACTTTGCAGCTACACTCGAGTAAAATAGGAAAAAAACAAAAATATTGTCGAATTAATTTGTAGAAGATGGTAAAATAAACTGTTAACATTATTTCTCTTTTGCATAACAGCTTTCACTTTTGTCCCATCTGCAATGACTTATGTAATCCTTATAGGATTATTCTCAGTGATCGTAACTCAATATTCGCTAAACATCTTTTGTTCGATTGTATGTTTATGCTCAATCATATCTTAAAAATTTAACTTTATTAATAGAACTATGTTCATCTCTATTAATTATGCATTGTACCGCTGTTATCCAACAAGTTTTAAAAATACATAAACGCAATATACATACGTGGATAATCAATGTATATGGGAACCAAAATCGGTTCCTTCGTACTGTAACACGAAAACTACGATGTACATGATGATGAATAAGTTTCTTTGTTTCTTATCCTTTCTTCTACATATCAAAATAATCATTATTATAATAGTTAATATTATCATATTTGCCCACAGTAAACGCACAGTTTACGGATTCTGGCGAGTCAGCTTTCGAAGAAAACTTGGAGAATGTAGCCGATCCGGGAATCGGCGAGGCGAGTTTCAGCGGGTTTAAGAGCAGAGGCGAAGGCGGAGCCAGCACTGCGCGCCTCGTAGATTTCGACCAGTCCAGCAAGGAGGCTAGGGCTTACGACGAGGACAGCGAAGTCATAACCGGCGTCACCGATTCCGACAGTTTTGTGAACAACGCAGACCCCTTCCGCCAGCCCAACGTGCAAGCGCCTCAAGATCAGTACGAGTCACAATCCGCACCGAGGCCCGCAAATACAAGGTGCCTGGAGAAAAACGAACGCTATCCCGTCCCAGGCAGTTGCGACAGATACATAGAATGTTTGGTAAGTATTAAAAACATGTTAGAATCAATTCCACTAGAACTTTAGCTACGTTTAAGCAGATTACGTTTTGTATGAAATGTTAAACTTGCATTATTAGATTAACCTGATTCAAATCAAATACTGGCCTCATATTTTTTTAACAAATTTACTCCAAACGTAGGAAATAAATCCTACGTGTTGTAGTTTAGTAGCGTTTACAAGCATCAGACCATTAAAAGACGTCGATATAGATTTAAAAAAGGCAAAAGAAAAAATGTTTTGTCTCAACACAGTGGATGTACTGGTTTACACAACATTTTTATCAAAAGAGAAAAGGACCCAATCATTTGAACAATTGCACCATTCGTCAATACAACATGATAGCTAGTTGGAATGAAACCTACCACCTTTTCAACAGAACGGTACCGCTGAAGAAAAGCTATGTCCTGATGGTCTCCGCTACAACCCTAACGTTAAGTTTAACGTGTATCCTTGCCAGTACCCGAACGATGTGCCCTGTCGCGAACGTTCCGCTCTGCGTAAGTATTGATCACATCCTACGATTCGCAACTCTGGTCGCCATGTCATTATTTTTATTATATATTTTTTACACACGAAAAAATTTGATTGTTATTACAATAAAAATTTACACACTAGAGATCTTATGCTAATTCAGTTGCAGAGTAGTCTATCATTCGGTATTTCAATCAGAATCTTTCAGTTATTATTATTAGTAAGCGTGGCATAGTTTGGTACATACGTATTTATTTATAACCTAAGAGCAACATTTGTGCACAATTCGACACTATTGGCGATAAAAGTTTTTGCATTAACGTGGAATAACATACACCTACTATTATAATACGAGAACATAAGATAGGCGCAAAAGGTCACGTTAATGCTAATCATATGAATTAGCTAAAGCAAAAAATAAGATAATACCAATAATTTATAATAATAGCTTACACGATCGAATTCGCATTTGTAATAGGTATTTTGATCATTTTAGTAGAATGCAACCGGATTAGATATTTTCAACGATTCGATTGTAAGTATAATTGTTGCCCATCGTTTTATTTGGACCTAAATCTAGACCTCTTTTATACCTACATCCGATAATTGCAATACAATTCATATATGATATCACGCAATTCACGTTACCTTTGCCATTTAGTTAAGCTTTTGATTGACATTTGATATTTCATATTGTTTGGATGATTGTGTTTAGCATTTTGGTACTAAAATTTGAATATTTTCGGTCATTCTGTTATTACAAGAAACAGTTAACCGTTTTATGATACAATATTAACAATGAAACGTTATTAACATTTCTGATATGAAAGAATTAAATCACTATCATGTGTTATGAAAGAATATTTATTGTTTATCTCGAACCTTGTGAATTGGTCGGTATGTTGTTAATATTGTAGTAACTAACTAGTAAAACCTTAACACGCATTTCTAACAATTTTGACGAAATGAAAAGTCTTCGTTGTTTCATTTGTAGCTAGTACAAAAAATGATAGATTCTATGGCATACAAAATACAAACAAGATAAAATTTGAAGCGCCCTTAAAAAAAAAACAAATAACGCATGTCAGTTTTCTAAGAAGCGAAATCTTTTTATATTGTTTTCTCGTGTTGTTTTTTATCTGATACAGTGTAGTTTAAAACTTATACCTGTTCTGTTTTACTTTAAAGAATTGAATAAAAAAATATAAACTATATTTATTTCACCCATAATGACTTCAAAAGCTGTACTTATATGTATTTCAAACATAAATTTTATGCAATTTACATATTTACAAGTTTATTTTCACCAAATGCTCAATTATCATGATGTCATATTTTACGAGTGTGTGCCACATCTGGTTACTTTACAACATTACAACATTTTACTAGAAACTTGCATGCACGTGCAATTTCTAGGACAAAAGATGTAAGAATTTGTAAGGTTTAAAATAGTTTGTGTCGCAAGAACTAATGAATGTCAAATTTTAAATAAATAAAACCTTATTATCATAAGACTGTCTTATTAAAAAGTAAAATATAACAGCTGTATAAAAACATCCAAAGTCGATATTGGTGCGTATTTTAAAATGTATTAACATTAGTGGTAGTAATACTTTAATTTTATTAGTAACAATATAGACTTCTAACTGATGATAACCTACGTAACCTACTCACTGAGACTGCTTAGAAAAAATACCAAATGTTTATTTTTTCAGGTACATTGAATTATAAATATTACCAAGGAATTTCGCTATCTTTTGTATCATCCTGCTAAATATGGTGCGTAATAAATATCGTGGAAAAACTATTGCGCCTGAAAAAAAAATCAGTTCCTATACTCTCTCTAACAGCAAAAATAGTAAATTGAAAAACTATAGAACATGCTCATTCTTTCTACACATATTATATTCTTACAACCGTTGGTCAAAACGCGGACTTTATGCAGAATAAATTTAACTTAATTAACCTCTTGACTTGGTATCGAAGCAAAACGTTAAGGACGCCATATCGAAATTTCCAGAACCCCCCCAACCGACCGCCGACTGTCCCCACCAGTTCGGCTACTTCAAGACCGGCGATTCGAAGAACTGCACCGGCTTCAGGAACTGCGTGAACGGTGTGGGCTATGACTTCGAATGTCCTGAGGGTCTGGCGTTCAGCTCCGATACGTACAGATGCGAGTGGCCTGACCAGGTGTCGGACTGTGACGCAGAAGGTAGAGAGACCTTGAATAAATTTTTAATTTAAATAACTGCGATCACTTAATTATATGTGTGTTCATTCTGTATTAATAAGGCATTAAAAACTCACCCCGGATTCACTCTATGACCTTTACAATATACAAAGAATAATATTTTATAAATCTTATGGCGTCATATTGTCCTGAGTTATTTGATCGATATTGTTTTTAATATCTGTATTAATATATGTTAAGAACTTAATTAAATTCTATTGGGCATGAAGAATTACGACTATTCAATATAATTAAATATTCTTTTTCACCTACAGGTTTTAAGATATTTGTTATGCCAGTTTGAAGGTTCAAAGTTACGCGAACTTTTTGTAGAGAATCTGTTTAGTTAATTAATATATTTTCATTCGTATAATCTTGCTTGGTAGCCTAATCGTTCCCTATAATTTTTCAGCTTTCCTCGGCTTTAAATGTCCCGAGGTACCCGTTTCAAAGGAGCTTGGTCCCCCTGCTGGCTACAGATTCTACAGGTGAGCGAAGTAAAATTGAAATCCTACACGCGAAAGTAATACATGACGATTATTAATTGTAATGGCAAACACATTGTAAAAATTAAAATTATAGTATGGGTTAATAACTTGCGTCGGCCAGCACGTAACTTGTTCGGCAATTACGACTATGTTAATAAACAAAATAGGCGGGAGAAACAAAATTTAAACCCTACCCGCGAAAGCAATAAATGATAATTATTAATTGGGTTATTAATTGTAACGGCAAAACAATTGTACAACGATAGGATGGGTTAATAACTTTCGTCGGCGAGCACGTAACTTGTTCGGCGATAATTACAACTATGTTATTGAACAAAGCAAAACAGGTTGCCCAACACTCGGCTGGTCATTTGGTGTCAGGCCGCTGTTAAATGTCATCGGATGAGCGGCGACCTTGCGGTTATGTAATCACTGTTAGAAATACCAGGCGTTAAACGTTTGCATAAGAGCTATCCGGTATATTATTCGCTAAGGGGTACACCGTACGTCATCATTTTGGGTTATGTGTATTTATTAAAAGTTCTTTGCACTAAATCCCGTTCAAACTGTAAAATTATTTTCTAAGGAAATAATATTTTTGCTCAAGCGAATAATGATAGTATTCAAATCCCGACACTAAATCACATGTCGCATGAATACCAAGTGACTAGAATTTACAAATAAATATTACACTTTGTTGAAAATGATTGCACAATTTAATATTATTTTTCAATTAGCATTATTTCATATGATTAATTTTTATTCACCTATTGAGGACAAGTGCCAATGTTATATTATACCACTCATATATTTAATACTAGCTGCGCCCACGACTACGTCTGTGTAGAATAGGCTGAAGGCGTAACATTCAGACAGAAAGACAGATATACATAAAATATGTATATAAATGATAGCCTATGTGTTATTATGATGTATAAGCTATATTATTGTAAGGTTTCATTAGAATCTATTCAGTAGTATTTGCGTGAAAGAGTAACAAACATCCATCCATACATACAAACTTTCGCGTTTATAATATTAGTAAGGATAAGGATGCTCATTTAGATCTCTGTCATTTAAGATTGCGGGTTAGAATCCCGCTTTATAGAAATTGCATGTATAAAGCTGTCATAACTTGAGTTTTTGGTGTTACTTTCTGTCGACTGGCAACACTCTCTTTTGCCATCTCTGCGTTTATGGTGTAACGACGTCTTTCGGAATTAAAGTGATAATTAATTAATTATTCATCTTTTATTACAAAGTACAACAAAATTTTTCGTGCCCAATTCGCGTAAATTTGTCCGATATGACTTTGGACCTTTGATATGAAGGATATGAGAGCTCTTATATACAAATTGAGTAAAAAAATTGTCCATATGTACATATGTGTATCATGCATATATTTTTGAATCCTCAATTTGTATATAAAGTCAAGTGGGTTGCTATCATAAGCTATATGGATCGCCTACCGCCTTCGTAACTGTGTCAGGCCATATTTCAGGTGCCCTATCCTGATCATTAGATTATTTAGATTATATTAGGTCTTTACGTATGAAATTGCCGTTCTTCAGTACTGGCCATTTTAAACGAAAAAAAGTTGTGATTGGCTGTGAATTCCAAATTGAAATTAATTTTGTTTTACAAACATGAAATTCTTTTTACATTGTTAGCCCTATGTTTTTTGCATAGCTTTGCATTTTCACTACATTTGATCATTTTTCGTTATAATGGTAAATAAAAATTCGTGTAATTATGGAATATGACTGCCGTCGTGGCACCAATGCGGCACAAACGGCATGTAACATCGAAAACTTTAGAAACAAACGCACAACCCCTTATTGGTTTGCCCGGTTCTGTTATGGAAATTTTGAATTGAAAAATGAACCTCGTGGTCGTCCGGACACTTTGGTCGACAATGATGAACTAAAGGCGGTTGTGGAATCTGATGATATTCAATCAACAGCCGAGCTAGCAGCAGCTGTTGATGTTAGCATCAAAACAATATTGGACCTATTATTATATTGGTGTATAATTAGATTATTAACATAGTAAATTCCAAAACTAAGAATGTTCCTCTCGCCTTCAGATCTTCCACTGACTGCCAGAAGTACTTCCTCTGCATCGACGGAAAGCCGCGTAGACTGAGTTGCGGCGGTTTCTCTGCCTACGATGAGCTCACGTCATCGTGCGTCGCCGCGGACGAAATCGAGTCCTGCCCCGCCGAGCTGAAGAGTGCAGCCGCTCGCTCCAGGGCCGCGGAGGAGCAGCGCTTGGCCGCCGAGGAGATCCTGACCAAAAAGTGGCAGAGCGGCCAACCGCTCATCAGCACGGTCGCCCCGACGCCTTACAGACAACGCCAGTACACCGCGACGCCGGCAAAGTACGAACAGTACTACAGCTCCGTAACTCCTGAGCTGTTTGGTGATTTCGATTCGTCGACCACCGGCGAGCCGTCGGATGTCGGAGAAAGTTTTTAGGTCAACCGTTTAGATAGAATGTAACTGAAAATTTATTGATTGTTTAACTAGAGACGTTAAACTTATAACAAGATCTGATGTAGTGATATGTCTGCATCATGATGGGTAAAATAAACCTTTCTTAAGTCATTGTTAATATAATTAAACTTTTCATAAAGTATCTAATAAAATGTTTTGTTTATCTTTTGTTTATTTAAAGACTATCCTAAAATTAAATTTACTTTTTTTATCAAAACGCATGACTTCCATAATTCTTCAATAAAATTTTTGATTCAAGAAGCATTTTAAAGTTTATATATTGAGATAAAATAGAATAAAGTTGATATTTTCACTAAAAAAAATATCTTGTTAAAAAGTTCTAATAAAGAATGTCTGATAATGCCAAATATTGAAAATTTGTTGAAATGAAACAAAGCGAAGTATATTTTATTTTTCGAAATATATTGGCCATTACGATACCGTGTGGAACGAATAAAGTAGTACTCTTATCAAAGAATTGTTATGTAAGGGAGACAGTAGCTTTTGTCGCTGTTTGTGCTAGCTGGATTTACAAAAACTACTGGATTCAACGGAATTGAGTATCGATACACCTAATAAAGTATAAAGACTCTAGTATTCATTATCTAAATAAACAGAATTAAACTATTATTAATGTCTGACTTCATTATTTAAGCGTCTGCTAAATTGTTAGTCATAAATCATTCAGTGTTGATTCGAAATCACCTCTATGATATGTACTCGTATGTTCATCTTTTCTAGCAGTCAATATAATAAAAGTAAAAAAAAAAAAACGGTTCTACTAAGGCAGTGGGTTCTGATGTTATGTAAAGGGGTCGGGTAATGTAAAGAGGTTGGTTCGTTGGAATGGGTTCAAAAGTCTGCCACGACCGATACGAAGTCGAAGTATCCATATTTTTGGGTTTCATCTGTTGTGCGTAGACTTCGAAAGTCACAAAGGACAGCGCGCACTTCCGTAATTGTTATAAACCAGATCAATTAAGGTACTTTTAAAAAATGTCAAACTGTTGGTTTTGGATTTGAAGCGATTCATATTTGGAGATATAGACATGAATATGCACTCTCCGCCATACAAGTGTGACTCTTCAACTCAGTTCCCTTGCGAGCGAAACGAGAAGTACTGAAAACTAGTTACTGACATACAACGATTTCAGAACTCATCAGCTAAATGACCAGTTATCGCGTCATCGAGACATCAGTTTAAATTACTTTATTATACTTACTTTCATATCAATTCACAGTTTTTTGTATAATTTGGAGTTTTGAAGTCGGTTCAGATACAGGTAATATAATAAAATAAATATGCAATATTCATCAAGTAATAATAGTTTATAAAACGGGTCCAGGTGAGCAATAAAGAAATTATAATGAATTCGAGATTAGCAAATGTTTACATGATAATAGGGTAGGACCGGCTAGTTTAGACTGGCAAACACCAGATATAAAAGGGAGCTAAAATATGAAATTGTATAATCAACAAGCACCTGAGCGAATTTTATTTTTAGAAGCTTATTAAAACAACTTGAAAAGAAAAACAAAACAAAAGCAAATTGACCCATCATAACGCTTTCAGTTTGTTTAAATGAAAGCGTTATGATGGGTCAATTGATGTACTCGTATGTATACCCCTTACGCTGCATAAGCATTGGTACTATTGATCTATCAATAATTACCGTATGTGTAATTAAAAAAGAAATATATACAGACATATATACCGCAAAATTTGTAGCCGGTTCTTCTCAAAACTGATTATGGTGAACTAACCGGTGGTTATCGCTGAAAAGCCTTTAACAAGCAATAGATGAATCCTAAATTTATATGTCATGTAAGAACATTATACGTATAATGTATATGCCTTATAATTAATGCAGATAAACATGTTCACCGCTGTATAGTCGGTGGGAGCATTGTGCGAATCTGAAATTATAAAACCGACTGGACGACAAATTTAGTTTATTACTGATTCATTTCTTAAAATGTCATTCCTACAATTTACTGTTATGCAACCACAAATTACTTTTTTAATTAGCGCACTCAGTATAAATAAACGCTATAAATCAGCAAAATCATCATTTGTAAATTTAAAATAGAAGTAAATTATTAGAAACAATGTTTTCCTTTATTTGGGTAGCCAGCCTCATCGTGGCTTCATGTAAGTATTTCGCCTATTCAAATCTTGAATTGTTCACATTTTTACGAACTGTTTTTGTAATTATAAAACTTCTATTTCGTGTAAAAGGTTCAGCCCAGCAAAACGGAGCTTCTGCAGATCCCGTCTGCCGAGAATACAACACATACTATAAGATTCAGGGCAGCTGTGATTCTTACGTAGAATGTAACGTAAGTTAATATATTTTGTTTGAAATCTGAAATATTTGTTAAATTAATTATGATTGTTTTTAACCATCCTTAATTATTTAATAGGCATACAAGGCGACTTATAAGACGTGCCCTGATGGTCTCCATTTCATCCGTGATGTCGTGTGGCCCACATATCCTTGCGCTTACCCGTCAGACGCCCAGTGCGACTCCAACGACGCTCCTCGTATGTATTGTTGCTAAATAAAATTGATTTGTAATAACTCTAAGCAACAGCTACATAATATCATTTTTCGATGGCAGAGCAAGCAATGCCCACTGCCGAATGCAAGCACCAATACGGATTCTTCGCGTCACCTTTGGCGACCCGCTCCGACTGTGGCAAATACCGCATGTGCGTGGAGGGCAAGGCTTTCGAAATGGAGTGCTCGACTGGTTTGGCCTTCAATCCTGAGACCGGTCGCTGTGACTGGCCTGATCTTGTACCAACTTGCGACGCTGAAGGTATTTTCTAAGCGGTCTTTTAACGTTGGTTTTCATGATATGTAAAACGAGTATTAACGAGGCGTTAATCTCTTTCAGAATTCCTCGGCTTCAAGTGCCCCCCTGCCACCTACGACGAGTTCGGTAAAGCTTACGTGGTGAATTTTGGGTAAGTTTAAACATTTTGATTTTATACACGATGTAAATGAAGCGTTTGAAAATACAATGATCTAAAACTTCATCTCTTGCCACAGCATCCAGGGAAGCTGCCATTACTTCTACTCCTGCATGGAGGGCGTTGCCCGTCTGCTGCTCTGCGACACCGGGTACGCATTCGACAAGACCGTCAACCGCTGCGTCGACGCTACTCGCGTCCAATGCACGGAGGGATAAAATGTTTCTTCTTTTAATTAAAAAACACGTTTAAATTATTTAATTTATTGTTTTTTTATTAATTTATGTAAATAAAATTTTATAAAACATTTGTTCTTAATTTCTTTTAAAATACATAGTTTTAATTTCTTAACTGCATACGGAGTATCATATGTCGGATTTTACATGGAAGGCCGTGCACAGAAACAACTGTATTTCAGGACGAATTAAATTGATGATAATCATATTAGGTCCTTACCAAAGCAGTCAATCTTTAATATTTGTGACTAGAATGAAGATCGACATATTTGGATTCAATGATTTGTTGAGTTCACACGAATACTAAACATTGTTAAATAGTACCTACACATTATTAGGGTTTTTTTGAATTCCCGACTTTTCATTTTTTTATATTTAATTTAAAACCAGCTTGGTATTCAAAACGTAAGTACATTTTTTTAATGTGAGGAGGTGGCTAGCGAGCTGGCGGTTCACGTGATGTTAATTGATAACCGCCGCGCATTGACATTCACAACACCCGTAAAATTGGTTGCAAATGCGTTGCTACTTTTAATAAAGTTGGCCCCAGCTATCTCACTCACCAGACGAAACACAGAAGTATAACACTTCCACTTCACGCCGTTCTTTTGTGAGGTGGTGGGACTTTGTTCAAAAGAGAAGACTCTAGCGTAGCCCTACCACAGTTATCATCGACGAATACCTTAAGACTTCAAAATATTGTAGGTTCCTAAGAACAGAATAAACAAATTATTGAAAGTAGACGCCAGGCGGTACTAATAATGACGTTCTGGACGATAAAATATCTTAGTCTGTCCCGTGATAAGAACCTTGTTTTTTGAATTTTAAAGTTTTTTATAGTGCTAATCTCTGCACTTAAGATTGAACATTAAAACACGTAGAAATTGTTTTTTGGTTCAAATTGTTCGGAATTAAAGTGAAAATGAAACTCGAAAAAATCGGCTAAATTATTTTTATCAACAGTCTTTGGCTTCAATTATATTTCTATATGTAGGATTATTTTATAATATCGCTATGACTTTTATTATAAAATAGACGGTTGCTCGCTGTCCGACTTTTATGATAACGCAATTGAAGCCTTTGAACCTTTAAATGAAAAAAGAATGTATGGTAGACCTAAACCGGCATTGTTAATTACATTTTTTTTAAGCAGCCACAATTTTTACTACTTTTGAGATATACTGAAATTGATAATTGCAACGAAATGATGATAACTAACTGGAGAAGAAGAACTTGTTGATTTCTCTACTCACACCTCCTATGACAACACACCCTCGAAAGTTAGGAGTTAAAACTGGAAACTCTACGTCACCCATCATTGACAACTACACCTTGGTGCAACAGTCACATTTTCACACGATATCATTCTTTATTTTCGGACATATGAATATTCTGACAATGAAAAATTTTATGTTTGAATAAGTTCGTCGGCTACCAATCTCAAAGCTTATGTAGCAGAGGAATGCTGTAATGAATTATTAATTTTCTAATGAACGGTTAAATTAACTCATATCTTTCAACTAATTACTAATTCATAGGATACCATAGAAAATATTTGAATTTGTAATAATGGTACTTATAGTTTTTCGGAAACGTTGATGACCACCGAATTTGCTAAGCAATGGTAAAGTTCCAAGTTTTTTTTTAATATAAATAATATTTCCCATTTGTTTTCATTAAGAACGCAGCATATTGTAATACAACCCAGTTCAAAGACTTAAATCGATGATATTTGATTTGGATAATTTTAGAGTAAGCATATATTTTTTACATAGATGATTTTAATGAATGTTGGTAAGATCCACGGAAGCTTTTAATACTAAAAAAAAAAGAACGATGTCTGTCCGGGGCAGCTAGTGAATAATAAAGATATTATAAAAAAAATCAGTACAGGACTGTGCTTCTTATGGACTCCCCCATAAGAAGCACAATTTCTATATCGAACAGTGGAGTCAAATAGGCTGAACTTAAGATGATGATAAAATATCAATGTTTCTATTTATTTTATAATAACAACAATTTTTTTTCATTGCTTGTGGGTGATTCGTGTTCTTTTTGTTTATTGTGCTTTTATCGCAATAAAAATAGTTATTTTACAGGGACTCGAATTCACCTAACCACCGACAGTGCTATTTTTTACGGACCTGCAATAAAGATGTTAAGATGCGGAAAATGTCATTACATTTTAAAAAGAATAGCGAAGTAAAATATCGATACTTATTAATTATTTCATGTGACATTTCATGTGATCCCTATTTGTATTTAAAGTAACGTCTCGCAATCAATGTGGAATACATGAAAGATACAAATGGGTTTACATTTTTTTTTATGTGAAATGTTGCCAAGCGAGCAGATGGTTCACCTGATGTTAAGTGAATAACGCCGCCCATAGACATCTGCTCAGCCCGAGGGTTGCAGATGCGTTGACAACCTTTTGAAAATTGGGCTCCAGACGAAACTTTACGCCGGTCTTCTGTGAGGTCGTGGTACTTACCCGGACGAGCCTGCCCATTCGTGCAACAGCCGAGGCTGCTGCGTGGCCCTAACACCGTAAAATACATACTTTTCCCCCAACATTTTGTCCAAATTACAAAACAACAATTTATACGATTTTTTTTAGTGATCAATTTATTCATAAAATAATTTTTAATCACAATGTTTTAAGGATATGGTCATGTATTACGTAATATAAGGTCATGTATTACGTAATAGACTCGAAATTACTCGGGGGAGAGTCGCTGCCATCCCTATTCCAAAAAGATTACCCTTGAAACGAGCTAACTTAATTTAGTTTATTCTATTTCTGAGATGTACTGGTAACCTTACGATGTTTATCTGCTCGTACCTCCTACGTAGTAAATAAGTAATGGAAATTAAAAAAATAGTTCCATAAGATATCATTTATTGAAATTAAAATTGCAAATGCACAAATAACTATCATTCTCTGCATTCTCTCCATACTTTTAATTAAAATATGAGGTATTATAACTGTTAATTTATGGTTCTGTAATTGTCAATAACATTAGTCTGAATGAACAGTTATAAAACCACAAACATTTTGGGTATAAATATCAGAGTAGCAGTCAATGGACTTCATCAGTACTCATTCTCATCGTAGTCTGCAAACAATTTCAGGATGTTTTTCTTTGTGTGCATCGCCGGGTTGCTTGTGACTTCAAGTAAGGATTTTCTTTTTTACTTTTTGTTGAAGAAAGTATAGATTTAATTTTTGCTAAATCATTTTCTATCGATTCTAATTCTTAAAGGTGCTCAACAAAAAGGGGAAGTCTCTGACCCCATCTGACGGGATGTATTCCCGTTCAGTCACATTTTTACGAGCTGTTTCTGTAATTATAAAACTTTTCTTTCGTGTAAAGGTTCAGCCCAGAAAAACGGAGCTTCTGCAGATCCCGTCTGCCGGGAATATAACACATACTATAAGATTCAGGGCAGCTGTGATTCTTACGTAGAATGTAACGTAAGTTAATATATTTTGTTTGAAATCTGAAATATTTGTTAAATTAATTATGATTGTTTTTAACCATCCTATATTATTTAATAGGCATACAAGGCGACTTATAAGACGTGCCCTGATGGTCTCCATTTCATCCGTGATGTCGTGTGGCCCACATATCCTTGCGCTTACCCGTCAGACGCCCAGTGCGACTCCAACGACGCTCCTCGTATGTATTGTTGCTAAATAAAATTGATTTGTAATAACTCTAAGCAACAGCTACCTAATATCATTTTTCGATGGCAGAGCAAGCAATGCCCACTGCCGAATGCAAGCACCAATACGGATTCTTCGCGTCACCTTTGGCGACCCGCTCCGACTGTGGCAAATACCGCATGTGCGTGGAGGGCAAGGCTTTCGAAATGGAGTGCTCTACCGGTTTGGCCTTCAATCCTGAGACCGGTCGCTGTGACTGGCCTGATCTTGTACCAACTTGCGACGCTGAAGGTATATTCTAAGCGGTCTGTTAACGTTAGTTTTCATGATAATATGTAAAACGAGTATTAACGAGGTGTTGATCTATTTCAGAATTCCTCGGCTTCAAATGCCCCCCTGCCACTTACGACGAGTTCGGTAAAGCTTACGTGGTTAACTTCGGGTGAGTTTTATATATTTTTGATTTTATACACGTTGTAAATGAAGCGTTTGAAAATACAATGATCTATAATTTTATCTTTTGCCACAGCATCCAGGGAAGCTGCCATTACTTTTACTCCTGTATGGAGGGCGTTGCCCGTCTGCTGCTCTGCGACACCGGCTACGCATTCGACAAGACCGTCAACCGCTGCGTCGACGCTACTCGCGTCCAATGCACGGAGGGATAAAATGTTTCTTCTTTTAATTAAGAAACACGTTTAAATTATTTAATTTATTGTTTTTTTATTAATTTATGTAAATAAAATTTTATAAAACATTTGTTCTTAATTTCTTTTGAAATACATAGTTTTAATTTCTTAACTGCATACGGAGTATCATATGTCGGATTTTACATGGAAGGCCGTGCACAGAAACAACTGTATTTTAGGACGAATTGAATTGATGATAGTCATATTAGGTCCTTACCAAAGCAGTCAATCTTTAATATTTGTGACTAGAATGAAGATAGACATATTTGGATTCAATGATTTGTTGAGTTCACACGAATACTAAACGCTGTGTTGACGCTACTCGCGTCCAATGCAAGGAGGGATCGTGATTCTTCCCTTTTATCTATATAAAAAAATACTTAAATTATTTAATTTATTGCTACTTCATTAACTTAATTTAATAAATTATTTAAAAAAAATATATTTTTGTCTGATTGTTTAAGACTACCACTCCTTATACAACGGTTATTTTATTCAATAAATTAAATTCATAATTAAAAAAAACATTTAAAGCTCGTCTGTCGCTTGGTGTTACAATTTTGTTATATTCCCAAGCCTAGTAATTTTCAGTCACTGTAGTTTTCATGCATACATTACCAATTAAAATTTACTGTTTTTCCTTTCTAAGATTGCCTTGAAAGATTTTGTGAAGAAGCGGGTTCGTTTTATCTAAAATTAAAACACCAACACGAAAGGTGGAGGCTTGGAAAGATTTAAAACAAACGTCAGTAATCAGCTGACCAAAATCGGACATGTTTTTTGCTAATATACGTTTATCGAAGGTTTATAGAAGGATTATAGCCTGTTTATATCAATGTTTTAGCATTATAGAACGGTTATGAATAATACTTTTTGACATTGTAATTTTAGCGTGCTTTTAAACCTCCGATAACTTATCACTGCATAGTATAAAACAAAGTCGTCCCGCTGTCTATCCCTATGTATGCTTAGATCTTTAAATCTACGCAACGAATCTTGAAGCGGTTTTTTTTTTTTACTAGATAGAGTGATTCAAGAGCAAGGTTTATATGTAAATACTGGCACTTGGCTGTTTTTTTTTAAATCGGTCTTAATTCTATTTACTAAATTCTCATTTTGGGGTCCGTGGTCTTAGACAACGTATTGGCAGAATTATTCAAGTTTTCGTTTTCATATAATGAAAATATATATGCAGGTTTCCTCACGATCGTTTCCTTCACCGTTAAGCACGTGATGAATCAGCACTCAAAATTGCAACTGACACTTTCATTGGTCCCGCACCGGAATTGGAAATCAGGTTGTTCAAGTTTATTGAATTAAAAGTGCGTTATCACGGCTCTGTATATTTCGAAATAAAAAATACTCTGTATGTTAAAAAACATTTCGAAGTCTGCCAATCCGCAGTGGGAGTCGCCTGGTTAAGCCCTCTGTACAGTGGAGGCCTTTGCTCAGCAACGGGACGTATATAGGCTTATACCCATATTTAACTTATCAACATTGACGTTACTTACTCACTTCTTCATTTTATCATCGTACCAAACTTTTCGAATATCGCATTACCCATAAACACAATTGCAGGAATTACAGCCGATACCACTATAAGTATTAGTATAAGTTTTACAAGGCTGCTGAGTCTACTTCTTCTGCCTGGTTAACCGATTTAGCTCAGAGCCACATACAACTTAATTTTATTCATCGACTACATTTTGAGCTTTACGTGTGTGTGGGTGGTCAGTTCTCAAAATGTTACGAATATTTAAATAAAAAGGAAAGCCTTATATAAAAATAAATGCAAAGTTCTTTGGTACACGTTAGTGAACATTTCGAAAAATATAATTATTTTCTTAATAAATTACAATAAAGCTTATAAATGAAACTAATTTTTACGGATTTATCGCGTTTATTTTTAATTACAATAAACCTGTTTCTCTTCTTCTGCGCAGAGACTTTTTAAGTTAAAGTAAAGTAAAGTAAAGTAACAGCCAATACATGTTCCACTGCTGGGCAAAGGCCTCCTCTATACAGAGGGTATCAGGGCATAGTCCACCACGCGGCCCCACTGCGGATTGGCGGACTTCACATATTTTCGAAATATATATTTTTTTGTTATTATTTCGAAAATATGCAGGTTTCCTCACGATGTTTTCCTTCACCGCGGAGCACGTGATAAGTCAGCACTTAAAGTTAAAAACTTCATTGGTGCCGGCACCGGGGTTGCTCGAGTATAATGAATTAAAGGCGAGCGCCCGGACACTGAGCTATCACGGCTCTTTAATCACGGCTATTTAAGTTAATTGTTGTAAAAAATATCCTTTAAATCAAAATAAATTAATAAGGTATTTGTAGCTATTGTTGTGCAAATAAAATTTTCTATTCGGTTAAAACTGAAAATAGTATGCGAAAAATGTGTCCATAATACTCTAAAAACTCATTGAATCAAAAATCGGCACCAAATAAACACAAACTATCTAATAATCATAAATTTATTTAAAGCGAGTGCTTTAAATAAATTTATGATGACGTGAGTACGTACACGCTCTGTTAGGTAAAAAAGAATTTAGAATCAACATAGTTTAATGCAAAAATGAACTTACCACTCTAATATTTCATTTATTTTCATTTTTTAACCAACTAAAACCCATTTTAAAAATAAACTAAATTAAACTACTACACTAACTAACTGGGCAATAAACTGTCTATTTTGTAGGGAAAATAAACCAGAAACGATACAGATAATATCCTTCTCTACATTACATCTACATTAACATGTACATATATTTTTATTATTACATTTATTTTCATTATTGGTTTTCTATTAATTTAATTTTTAATTATAGAGCTAGTCTCTGCATTTAAGATGAAACTTCAAATGTCTAGATAAGACTCGCAAAATGTTTCGGCAGCTCTACCACAGTTTGAACCTGCGGATTACGCGTTCAGAAGCTCTAACCTTAAGCTAGGCGGTGGACATCTTAAATTTTTTCGTTATTGTATTATATTTTTGATATAGTATGTATCTGGAATATAAATATATAATTTTTCGTGACTGTGATTATAAGTGACCGCTACTCGGAACAGCAGAAGTAATTTTTCCAAATACAAACATTAGCAAATTAACCACTAATTGGTAACTATAATTGCGCCAGTTATTGTGCAAGTTGAAGAAAATTAAATTAGGCCTATTAATTCGATTAGTATAAATTGAGATTTTTATTTTTTACAAATATCATTCACCTGTAGGAAGTCGAAGGCGAGTATACATCAAGAAAAATGTTGTTCGTTGCGTGCATCGTTGTATTATGTGTTGTATTTAGTGAGTATAAAAAAATCATTCAAATAATTGTCGTGAACTATTACGGATATGGATATTAATTCATTAAAATTTCTCTCTAAGGTAATGGAGAAATTCAAAGGAACGGTGCTGTCGATGATACAGTATGCAAGGAATACAATACGTACTATAAGATTGAAGGCAGCTGTGACTCTTACGTAGAATGCAATGTAAGTTTAGTAATTTTAACATTTTTAAATTCTTCTACGTTTATTGATTTAGTGCATTTAATTAATTTTGATTTGATATTCCTCTACTAGGCATACAAGGCGACATACAAGACTTGTCCTGACGGTCTATACTTCATCCGCGATGTGGTTTGGCCCACCTACCCTTGCGCTTACCCATCGGACGCTCAGTGCGACAGTAACGATGCTCCTCGTACGTATTCACGTTTTATTATATTTTCACTTCTTTTTTAACAGAATTTATTAATTGAAATACGAATTAAACCTTGGAATCTTCGAACAGAGCGTGCTGTGGCATCTCAAGATTGCAAACACCAGTACGGATTCTTCGCATCGCCACTAGCGACCCGCTCCGACTGTGGCAAATATCGCATGTGCGTGGAGGGCAAAGCTTTCGAGATGGAGTGCTCCATGGGCCTGGCCTTCAACCCTGAGTCCGGCCGTTGCGACTGGCCCGACCTCGTGCCCTCCTGCGACGCTGACGGTATAAACATCTACAAGAACTCCTGTATAATACGATAGCTAACCGCCACACTTGAATCGAATGTGAAAATGTTCCTGTTTTATCAATTTCAGCGTTCCTCGGGTTCAAGTGCCCACCGGCTACTTACGACGAGTTCGGAAAGGCATACGTGGTGAACTTCGGGTAATTACTGCATTATTTCTTCAATATTAGCTCACATGAAAAAGAACGAATGAACCTTTGAATGAATGAATGAAAGTTTTATTTGAACCGATTTATTCGCCCCGCAGCATCGCCGGCAGCTGCCACTATTTCTTCTCGTGCATGGAGAATGTGGCGCGTCTGTTGGTGTGCGACCGGGGCTTCGCCTTCGATGACTCCGTCGGCCGATGCGTCGACGCCACCCGCGTCCAGTGCCAGGAGGGAAACTGATTTTCCCTGATATTTCCTAACCGTTTATAATTTATTATTAATAAATATCCATGTCAGTTATAAAAACATGTTTTTGTTATAAGTAATAACATCCACTTTGACATAGTTGTAACTGAATATCAACCTACTAAATGTTTAACTCAAAGAATAATGTAATAATACTACTACAATACGCATATACATATTGCTCATTACAATCAACGGCATTTTAGGCAACCACTAACCAGTCAGCCATCTTTATATAAAAAAAAGTTTTAATTTTTAACCTTCTGTTGGGACATTCAACCCTTTAGTCATAGCGTTCTAAGGACAGTCATAGAGACATGCAATATTGATGCTTATAAAGACACTAGCTGTTAAGGTGCTGTATGCAGTGACTTTTTAACTATTTCGGAAAATAAAGTATACAAACAAATATAAAGTATAGGAAAGCATTTAAATTTTAAATTAAATTGATTATTTTAAATTATCAGGAAACGGATTAGAATTGATTAAAAACACAACTTAAGGTCAAATAAATTAATAATTGGTCAAATAAATTAATAAAGGCTAATGACATTTTTTACAATAAAACAATAAATAAACGAATAATTATTTATTTTGATTTAAAGTAATAGCTCATAAAAATTTTAAGCAGTTAAATAGTCTCCACGGCATAAATTACGAATACGACTTTTTTATAACATTTTGTTAAACTATATATCTTTAATTTATCCTTTAATTGTTAAAGACTTACTACATTATATAAATTCCTCAATGAAATGATATTTAAAAAATCATCGATAAAATTCCTTATATCGATAAACGACAAAAATTATAACTAGAATCGAAATATTGTTCCCTTCCACAGACATCGTGTAGCCTATTGGTCCGAGCGTCATGGTAGGTGAACAATTACGGTGGTCCTTAGTTCAAACCTTATTGAGTGGTAAATCTTTTTCCAATTTTAATTTATTAATCAATTAATTGTTTTGTTTTTATTTCATAAAATATGGAAAATAAACAAATTAATGAAAAAAATATAAAACAATTATTTTTGGTGTTCATAAAAGATTAATTTTCGTTTCAGGGTGAAAAATTAATATTTATATACAACAAATTAAAAACAATATACAATATAAGAGTAGTTTAAAATTTTAAATAATGAAAATTGGTTTATTATCTGATAGATTGTTCTCCAACTGTTGCGTTCTACGTTCAACAAATACAATAATAATATTTCGTTGTAATTATTTCAACAAAAATTCAATGGTAAATAAAAAAAATGCCTGCAAAAAAGAAAATGACCAAAAATTATAACAAAGAAATGTAGGGATTAGAACCCAATCCCTATAGAATTATGGTCCATTACACTGTATGTATAGTAGGACTGATAAACCTATCAATCACAAGACAAGATATTGAATTTATGCTTTAGTTGTTCACATACAAATAATTAAAAATACGAAATATGTGAATATATATTTTTTAGTTTCGTGTTTTCGAAAGATCTAATAAAATTATAACACTCAATAATAAATAAATACGGAACATATTTCGTAACGGTAAGCGGAAGACGAGCGGCATAGGTCCATCTAGCAACGAGTCTCAGCGCGCTCTGTTCAACGTGTGGAAATGGAAGAGAACCGAAACAACGCCGTGGTGGCGCGGTGTTTTGGTCGTCGCGTTCGGTTAATTTTAATAAATAAAATTAATATTTAGAAATATCTTACTTCAATCAGTGATATTAATTTCATTACGATTTTTTGATTTATTATGCATATTTTTGGATCTGAATTTCACTTCTAAAGGTGGATTTCATGATTTTTTTCTATCGAGAAAATTTATCGAGAATATGTTTTGAAAACAATGGTCCATTAGAATGTAAGATCAAGATAAACATTTTTTTTGCTGCTATAAAATGTACAGATTTTGCTTAATCTTTTGAAAAATGTATTTTTACTGCATACTGCGCCTTAACCGCGGCTTCGCCCACGCGTCCAAGGAAATAACAATGATTTTTTTTTTCAGTATACACCAGAATGTTTTGCAGATGGCTGAATGTTTTCTTACTTAGTTGACACTTATTTATATTTTGGAAAATTGACACAATATCTTAATAAGTTATATCTTAGTTATGACACAATATCTAAATAAGCGAAGTGGTGGTGTTTTAACATTCATAGAAGTTTAACAATGCTTAGTATATTTATTTATATAGTATATTTCTTAATAAAATATTACATTTTACAAATTACAAAAATAGTCAACTAATGAATCACTAGGGTCGTATTTCCAAAAAATTATCTGGTTTCTGCTGTTATAAAGATTCTAAAAATACCGAATCCGGATGAATGTCGCAACCTCCTTCCCCCCTGTGCAAGTTACTCTTTGTTTGTAAAAATTAAATTAAATGCGTTTGATAACGGTTTATTTAAATAACTTGGAATTATAGGTAAATGTCAAAAAGTTGTTATTGGTTGCCATGGTAAAACAGTGAAGTATATCGAAGTTGGTCAAGGTAAATTGTTTGTTTTGTCTGATTTTTCCCGGGCTTTTGATACTTAAACTCACATACTAGGGTTTTCCAATTCCACAGTAAAATGGTTTGCTAGTTATCTTATTAATGGACGAATGCAGTACTCCTGCAACGCACCACGAATAGTAGTTTCTGTCTAGGGCACTTGTTTAATATTTATAGGATAGCTTCGCGGATACTTTGGGTGCTTCCAGGTCCCACCAGTGATCATCGAACCACCGGTTAGGAACCACTAGTGTAAGGGAAATAGCTGTAAATATAAATAATAAAGAATAACTATGTATCCACTCCGTTTCCAGTTGGCAATGTGTAATTTTTATATTAATTGGAGAAATGAGAAAATATACAGTCAAATCAGTACAGTTTTTCTTTTTCTTTGCCGTGTCTTAAGATATATCGATATAAATTCCTTGGCATTGAATAATCACTTTATTTAGAAATTATACTTTAGATAAATAATTTTTCATCATCATAATTATTATACACGGTATAAAAATATATGGTGTAAAAGTATAAAAAGAACAATATGAAAAAAATTACAATGATTTTTTTTTCTATTTACGTATATATATTCTTTATTGACCACCACAAAAACATAAAAAGAACTGTTACAAAAAGAAAAACTTATGAGATAGATACAATAAGGCGGTCTTATTGCTAAAGTGCTATCTTTTCCAGACAATGTTCAGGCTAAAATAACTTTGGACAACGTTAGGTGTTGCAATTGATGATCTTACATTACCAAAATAGTTTATTTACGAATATATTATACAAGACTCCATTTTTCTTAAAATATCATTATGTACTAAATGTGGATACTTGTTATTGGCTCTATAAATATTTTATAATATTCTGTTAAAATAAATACTTAATAGATGTCAGTTTTTCTAATAAAATAAAATAAATATTATCGAATGCATAATATGGTCCACTGCAATACCTCTTGAAGTATTGCAGGGGGAAGCATCAACATGATCCAACGTGAATTCAAATTCTTTATACAGATATATTCGTACAGATTAATGTTTAGAGAAGAAGAAGAAAATTCTCTCCTCTATTAGCTGAGTAAGTACTTGGTGGACGATTACGCGAAAATAGATTCAAGAATATAAAACTCAATCAAGAAAAATCAAGCTTAATTGCGGCCAGATTGCTCTTCATCTACCAGGAATTAATCCCAGCTATCGGCAGGATCTGCCTTCCTACTCAACCTCCTCCATTTTGCCCGATCTTCAACATCATCAGTCCATTGGCTCTCATGCCCTGCTTTACGACGTCCAGCCATCGTTTTATTGGGCGTCCAGGAGGTCTAGCTCCTGGGACAATTATATCAATGCATAGCCTTCCAACATAGTTTTCCGACCGACGTGCGACATGGCCATGCCATCTCAGGCGCGGCTTTTGGAGCTTATCCGCTGCGTCACGGAACCCAAGACTGCCTCGCGTGAATGCGTTACTTTTGCGCTCAGCCCACGTGGCGCCGCGCCTCCACCTTAGCATCTTTATCTCCGTGACAGGAAGCCGATATAGAGCTGGCTAACACTCGCTACCGTACAGAAATACCGGTCGGATGATGCTCTTGTAGTTTGAGCCTAGGGGTACATTTGAAACTTTGTACCTTTCTGTCCTTTGAGGTTGGGCGGTATTCTGCCGTCGCAAACCACAACTGTGTCCTCTCGCCACTTAGCCCAAGCAGCGAGTATCCGGGCTTGGATGTCATGGTCGATGCTTCCGGACTCGTAAAAAACAGATCCAAGGTACATAAACGGTTCCGACTGAACGGCTGGTTCTGAACCAATTTGGATCGTGCTACAGTCCGAACTACCAACTAACTAATGTCCGGCATATATCATCAGCCATGGAGGCTGGTCCTGTATGTGAGCCGAGATCTTATCTACGTTGAACAAGAACGGACTAAGAGCTGATGCCTGATGTACCCTTACAGTGAAGGGTTTGGTGTCGCCCACAGCGGTCCTAAATACGGACACAGAATCGTGGTACATGTCTCTCATAATATCAATGGCTTTAGGGTCTCCTTTGGATCGCAATGGCCACCAGATACATTGACGAGGCACAAAGCGAAAGGCTTTCTGCACGTCCATTCAAGCTAGCACTCGATTTAACAATTGCTGAATTATTAAAGAATACAAAAGTAAAAGTGATGGGCGATATTACAATAGTAATTATTACAATAGTAAGTATATTACAATATCCTAAGGGTCAACTTCATCTGAAACAATTTTGCCATCCGGAGCAATTGAAGAAAAATATACTCAGTGTATTGTATCTATATAAAAAAGTAAAGTAACAGCCTATACATGTCCCACTGCTGGGCAAAGGCCTCCTCTATACAGAGGGTATCAGGGCATAGTCCACCACGCGGCCCCACTGCAGATTGGCGGACTTCACATATCTTCGAAATATATTTTTTTTTTTTTTATTACTATTTCGAAAATATGCAGGTTTCCTCACGATGTTTTCCTTCACCGCGGAGCACGTGATAAGTCAGCACTTAAAGTTAAAAACTTCATTGGTGCCGGCACCGGGGATCGAACTCAGGTTGCTCGAGTATATAGAATTAAAAGCGAGCGCCCGGACACTGAGCTATCACGGCTCAGTATCTATATAATTAAAATGTAATTTTTGAAAAAGTAATTTCTCGAAGATACATTCTTCGATAAATTACTTTTTCATTAGCAAATTGATCACTAATTGGTAAGTATAATTTCACCTGTTATTGTGCAAGTGGAAGAAAAAAGTTAAATTAGCACTAATTAGTTACTATAGTATAAATTAAGATTTTTAATTTTTACAAATATCATTCATTTGGAAGTCGAAGTGTATACATCAAGAAAAATGTTGTTCGTTGCTTGCATCATCGGTTTATGTGTCGTATCTAGTAAGTATGAAAAATAATTAAAATGGTTATGTCATGAACTGTAGGGATATTAATTAATTAAAATTTCTCTATAAGGTAATGGACAGATTCAAAGGAATGCTGCTGTCGACGACACAGTTTGCAAGGAATACAATACGTACTATAAGATTGAAGGCAGCTGTGACTCATATGTAGAATGCAATGTAAGTATTCGTATATAGTTTGTACTAATTTTTACTTTTTTAATTCTTTTACATTTATTGATCTAGTGCATTTAATTATATTTTGATTTGATATTCCTTTACTAGGCATACAAGGCGACGTACAAGACTTGTCCTGACGGTCTATACTTCATCCGCGATGTGGTTTGGCCCACCTACCCTTGCGCTTACCCATCGGACGCTCAGTGCGACAGCAACGATGCTCCTCGTATGTATTTTAAATATATTTAATATAGCTTCTATTTAAACTTAATCTATTAATTGAAATTTAAATAAACTCTTGGAATTTTCGAACAGAGCGTGCTGTGGCATCTCAAGATTGCAAACACCAGTACGGATTCTTCGCGTCCCCACTAGCGACCCGCTCCGATTGTGGCAAATATCGCATGTGCGTGGAGGGCAAAGCCTTCGAGATGGAGTGCTCCATGGGCCTGGCCTTCAACCCTGAGTCCGGCCGTTGCGACTGGCCCGACCTCGTGCCCTCCTGTGACGCTGACGGTATAAATCTACAAGAAATACCCTTACATAAAACAATAGTTAACCACCACCACACTTGAATCAAATGTGATAATGTTCTTGTTTCTCAAATTTCAGCATTCCTCGGGTTCAAGTGCCCACCGGCAACTTATGACGAGTTCGGAAAGGCTTACGTAGTGAACTTCGGGTAAATGTTGCATTATTTCTTCAATATTAACTCGTATCGAAGAGAATGAATGAACAAGTTTTATTTCAACCGATTTATTCACCCCGCAGCATCGCCGGCAGCTGCCACTATTTCTTCTCGTGCATGGAGAATGTGGCGCGACTATTGGTGTGTGACCGGGGCTTCGCCTTCGACGACTCCGTCGGTCGCTGCGTCGACGCCACCCGCGTCCAGTGCCAGGAGGGAAACTGATTCTTCCTGATATTTCCTAACAGTTTTCAATTTATTATTAAAAATATCAATGTCAGTTATAAAAAGATATGTTTTTATTTATTATCAACTAGCGGCCTGCCCCGGCTTCGCACGGGTATTTAAGAAAAATTTTAAATTAAAAATTATCACACACACATAAATCCTTCCGGATATTTCGTCTTTGGTGAATAATTTTATGAATTTCTCCATCTTTAAAATAACGCCAAAACGATCTAGACCGCTGACCGGATAATAGTTCCGTTTTAATTTAAGGGCAATTCGAGTTTACACGTAAAAGTGCCCAGAGCGCGGAGTGAGACGTGCTGCACAAACATTATTATTCGCGAGGCTCTGTCTGTCTCTTGCAACAGATTTATACGCATGATTTGAAGGATACTTTTCCTAATATTAGATCCTTACATATGAAATTAGCGTTTTGTCATACTGACCTGAAATATCTCCTATTTGTTTAAGACTTCCAAATTAAAATTTATAAATTCATTCGACACCGTACAATGAAATACATCAAATATACCGGATATTTACGAGTACGAGTTCTACCGTAGCACCAGTGCTGCAGAAACAGCTCGAAGGATTAATGATATGTACGGCGCTGGTGTCGCAAAAGAAAGCACGGTACGTTTTTGGTTTCAACGTTTTCGTTCTGGACATTTCGCCCTTCAGAACCAATCCCGTGTACGGCCGGAGACCACCGGTGGAAAATGAAGAATTAAAGGCTATTGTGGAAGCGGATCCATCACAAAACACTTCTGAGATAGCTACAGGCTTCTAAGCAAGTGATAAAACTGTATTAATCCACTTGAAGCAAATCGGGAAAGTAAAAAACTTGAATGATGGGTACCTCATGAATTGAGTGAATCGAACTTGCAAACACGTGTCGACTGCTGTCTTACTTTGCACAACCAACACAATAATAAAGGGATTTTGAATCGAATCGTTATTTGTGATGAAAAGTGGATACTGTACAGCCCAATCGAAAGCCAGCTACACGAAAATTCAGTTAGAAAAAATTACTTGTGATTGTTTGGTGGACTAGCACCGGTGTCGTTCACTACAGCTTTCTAAAATCTGGCCAAACGATTACAGCAGTTATCTATTATTAGCAAGTGCAAACCATGAAGGAAAAAAATAGCTGCTAAACAACAGAGATTGGCCAATCGCTCTAGGCCTTCTTAAAAGGCCGGCAACGCATTTGTTAGCCCTCGGGTGTTGCAGGTGTTCATGGGCGGCGGTAATCACTTACCATCAGATGAGCCTCCTGCTCGTTTGCCCCTTTTCTCCATAAAAAAAAAAAGGCCACTGCTGCTTCACGACAACGCAAGACCACAGACTTCACAACAAACAACCACTAAGTTAGATCAGCTACAATTGGAATGTCTGCATCCCCGTACTCCCCGGACCTTGCTCAAACAGATTACCATTTTTTCTGGAATTTGAACAACTTCTTACAAGGAAAAAAATTCAACTCCGATGCGGCAGTCCAAACCGCCTTCAAAGAGTTTATTGATTCTCGCCCCCATGTTTTTTTGGTAAAGGGATCAATGAACTATCTATGAGATGGCAAAACTGCATAGATAATAACGGTGCATACTTTGAATAATTAAATATATTTTACAAAAAAAATGACTTTATATTCCTCCCGTATACAACGCCAATTTCATATGTAAGGACCTAATATTTGTATTGCCCTGCGAATTTACTCTTATGCTTCCCACTACAGTTGAAAGCTATAAGCGAAATTTTAGCAAACTAAAACTAATTAAGAACTATTTGCGATCTTCTATGAGCCCGGTAGTTTTATCGAGTCTTGCAATCTTAGCGATAGAAATTCGAATTGCACACGAGTTAAATTATGACAAGGTTATTTATTTGCTGAACAAAAAGCTCGAAGAATACAATTGTAATTTCAATTCACAAATGCCATAATATTGTTACGTGTTCGGGGTTCGAAGGATTTGGAGAGAAAGACCTGCTGACTCTTTTGAAGACTTTATTTACTAGCGCTAGGTCCAACACAAAGCACTAGGTCCAATCACTAAGCACTAACGATGTCCTAGATTGTAGCCAAGTCGTAGGTTTCACTGGTATCGCTCTTGATCACTAGTTTTCACTCCGAAGTCGCCTCGAAGGTAGCTCAAACTGAATTGTCCTGACTCGCCTCTCTGCGGCTTTTTATATGGGCCGAGACGAGCCCCAGACTATTCCAGAAAGTTCCTTCCTGGAACGTACCCGACATGCGCGAACATGATCGTGATTCCGGAAAGTTCGCGAATGTACCCGGTTTTCGAGACTATAGTTCCACAGCAGTTCCTCTAACGCCATCTAGTATTGAATAGGGGGTTTTATGTCGTCTTTGTACTTTAGTGGTTTTACTAGTTGACGCTAGATGGCGTTAGTTCCTTTGTGTGTTCGTAACAATATATTTGATTTTCATTTTTATAATGCATATTTTTATTTTAAATCCTATCCTGTGCTGTGTATAAAATATAATTATATCCTACACGTTTATGTCTATATATCTGTAAATAAGTTGGCTTAATACACACGGAAAAAAGAAAACAGAAACGCTAGTTTGAAATAAATAAATAGTAACTTAACTGGAGCTTCGAACGCCAAAGTGGAAAAAGTGCATTGTCACATAGTATATATTACATTTCTGTAAAACTAATAGTTTTAAAATGTAAGATTTTTTTTTGAACGATTGAAGTTTTACTGTCAGAGTTACAGAATTTGTCAACTTTATTTGAAACTGTAAATTTTCCACTTTCGCGTTTGTCACGTTACTATTTCAAACTATAAAAGTTTCTGTTTTCTTTGTTTCGTGCAAAGAAAACAGCAAATTTCCGGAAGTCATTCAATTAGTGGACATCTGATAGCTGAAATTATACAGAGGCTTTTCTCAGTGTATGCATTTTATCAAATTGAATTCTAGACAAAATAATGCTAAGTATATAAAAAAAATGATAAATATTTAAAATCACTCCTAATTAATTAAATACATTAATTTGAACATATCTCAAAAAGTGCGTGATTTATAGGCAAATCATATATTTTACGCACGATCGTAAATAACTAACACGCACACAAGTTCGTTCTAAAAGTATACGATGCATTTATAGGGATTTTTTTTTAAAAAGTTTGTTTTTATTTCAATAAACGATTATGGCCAGTACGAGGCTGCCACTCGAGAACCTTTCTTCCCCAACGGTTATCGGTTCTACGAGCTATATGGCCGGCCCATCGCCACTTCAGCTTGCTAATCCTCTGAGCTATATCGGTTATCTTAGTTCTACTGCGGATGTCTTCGTTACGAACTCTATCACGCAGAGAAATACCAGTAGTACTTGAAGTAATGGCCATCGCAGTGTAGGACGACCCCCCACTAGATGGAGTGACGACCTGTGCAAATGTGCGGGAAGTCGATGGATGCAGGTGGCTCAGGATCGTACTTCATTCATGGCAATCTGTGGGGGAGGCCTATGTTCAGCAGTGGACTCAAACAGGCTGAAATGATGATGATGATGAAACGATTATACTACCGAGTCTAAACCTCCTGTGTGAATTTGGGCATCTTTAGAAAGGCCACCCTGTATAGATGATAAAGGTAAAAATAAATATAAGTGGGCGTGGGCGGCATTTCTCAGTTTTTGCCCCACCCAAAAAAAATTGATGATCCGGGGCTGGGCAACATTGTACCCAGGCTTACATTGCTTCATTTTAGTCAGGGATTTCCAAGTTTTTTTTGAAAATACAATATAGCGTGTGTTACAAAAGTATATGTAAAATCAGTCCAGTAGTTTTTGCGTTAAATCTTAAAAAACAAACAAAAAAAAGTTAAATCTTTCTTCTTTATAATATTAGTTTAAAAGCGAACGCCCGAACAACTAGTTATATATTGAAAATATATAGTTCTTTAAAAACTATTTTTCTAAGTGACCACTACTCAGAACAGCCTTAATGAAGAAGTAATTTTTCAAAATATGTACATTAACAAATTGACCGCTCAAACACCAGTACGGGTTCTTCGCCTCGCCACTAGCGACCCGCTCCGACTGTGGCAAATATCGCATGTGCGTGGAGGGCAAAGCCTTCGAGATGGAGTGCTCCATGGGCCTGGCCTTCAACCCTGAGTCCGGCCGTTGCGACTGGCCCGACCTCGTGCCCTCCTGCGACGCTGACGGTATAAACATCTACAAGAACCCTTGAATAAAACAAAAGCTAAACTCCCACAATTGAATCGAATGCGACAATGATCTTGTTTTTACAATTTCAGCGTTCCTCGGGTTCAAGTGCCCACCGGCTACTTACGACGAGTTTGGAAAGGCTTATGTGGTGAACTTCGGGTAAGTGCTGCATTATTTCTTCAATATTAGCTCACATGGAAAATAGTGAATGAATGAAAGATTTATTTTAACTGATTTATTCGCCCCACAGCATAGCCGGCAGCTGCCACTATTTCTTCTCGTGCATGGAGAATGTGGCGCGACTATTGGTGTGTGACCGGGGCTTCGCCTTCGACGACTCCGTCGGCCGCTGCGTCGACGCCACCCGCGTCCAGTGCCAGGAGGGAAACTGATTCTTTCTGATACTTCCTAATGCTTTATAGTTTATTATTAATAAATATCCATGTCAGTTATAAAAATTATATATGTTTTTAATATTTAATAACGATATATGTTTTTATATAGGCCTCTGCCTATGTTCGACAGTGGACTCCTTGTGACTGATGATGATGATGATGATTAATAATTTTATTAGATAGTGAGACGTGGCCATAACTCTCAGAAGCATGTGAAAGAGAAAGACAAAAACATAGACACACACATACAGCTTTCCCGCCACACATGTATTGTCAGCCTCAAACTGTCAATGTCATTCCCCTCCCCTGTCAGGATCTGCCTGACTGGCAGATACTCTCCCCCGTACACCGCTAATATTATCACTACATATGAACTTAAATAAACAAAAATAATGGCGGAACTCATCTAAGAAACTTTGTCACAGCTATAATTATTTGAATTAGTTACACTAACATTTGATTTTCAATTAAGGTAGTGCCGCTCCTTGTTCTACAAATGTACCTTGCCAAATAACCCCTAAAGAGCCGGAACCTTGGGCAATTCTCCTTCAAAGCATGAAATCTCGACCGCCGCTCCCGTTCTACAACTGCATCTCGCCAAATAATTCCTAAAGTGCCGGAACCTCGAGCAACGTCTCCACAAAAACAGGAAACCTCGAGGGCCGCTCCCTGTCCTGCAACTGCAGCTACCCAAATAACTCCTAAAGTGCCGGAACCCTGTGCAAAGTCTCCACCAAAACAAGAAATCTTGACCACCAATTCTACCATAATAAAAAGAACACCTAAGAATCCAAAGCTTACTGCTAATTCCCACCTTGGTAGCGATTACTACATCAATGCAAACTGCAACATTACCTGCTGTGACTCCTAACTGCCAAAACGGTGAAATATATCCAAAAAACATCAGAAGTTGTGACCATTTCCAAATGTGCTACAACATAGTTCTGGTTTATGATCTGCCCAGCGGGTTTAGCGTTTAACTATAAGACGAAGAGCTGCGTGGCCTAGTGCACAAGGTACTTACATATTTTGAATCAATCAAGGTTTTTTTTTAAACATTCGATTTCAATATAATAAAATGACTGAATTATTTTTTTACAGGGAACTGAGCAGTCCAATCCAGTTGAAAGGCAGTGCCTAGATGGCTTTTATTTATAGTCGATAGAGGTTTGTAACAGTTGTTAACAGCAATGTATTTGTGCTGCTTTGGAATGTCATATGTTAAAGTTTATTAAATATCAAGACTAAAATAAAATGTTTGCAATGTATATTTATTAACGCTTGATAGTACCCAAGAGAAAGTACATTTAAGAGAGAGCCCCGTGTACCGCGCTTACATCAACTTTATACTGGTCTTATGTGAGGCCGAGGCACTGCTTTACAGCAGAGCCCGCTGTGTGTGCGTACCACAGATAAACGCAGTCTTCGTTTGTCATGGGACCAACTAATGTTAAAACATAATAATTTGGATGGTTACAAAAATATTTATTCCTTTGTGATTAAACCTTGGAGAAATTTGATTATTTATTTATTTAAAAACACTTTCAAAACTTTAAAAAAATCATTTTCGGCGGAAAGGGTACTATCAAGCGTTAATAAACTATATTGCATACATTTCCATAAAAAAGTCAATATCTTTATAATAAGGATCGTGTATTTAACTTTAAAAATATAGCAGTGGATGTTATCTGTAAAGGTGGTAGGTACATAATATTATAATGTTATCAAAAGGTAATTTTTATCAAAACGTTGCTGTTTCAGTAACTTTAATCTAAATAAATAATCGTCAATAAAGGAATGGTCCTTTCCTCAGGATGTGTAAAATTTATAATAGAGTCTATTCTCATCATGACATATTCAACTGTAGTCTGTCCAGCTTTAAATTATCTCTCCGACAACAATTGCTTCTTGTCATGTACAGGCATATCAGTTGGGTATGTAGGTGCTACTCTCGCTCGTATTGTATCCCTTTTCCCAACTTTTATTTTAGCTTAATAACTAACTTTTATTACATTTTAATTCTTTAATTAAATTTTAACACCTTAGATAGTAATAATAGTAATAATTTTATCTCTAACATTAGCGAAAGTTGTGTTTAGTTGTAAGTGGATTACGGATTTGTGTATAATATGTTAAAGAAACACTTGATATTTAGAATTACTTCTCTGTGTATATTTAAGTTTGTAATCTGTTACTAAACTTTTCAAAAATAAATAAAAATTCTAAAGGTACAATGAATTTCTGTATTTAAGAAGAAGAAAAAGAAACGTTTATTCACGGTCTAAGCACAATAGATACATAGTACACTTAATAATAATAATGTAACTACACATTATGTAAACCTAATATTAGGAAAACTTAAAATAAACGTAAACATGACAAAAAACAACAAAAAAAATAATAACAATAAGTGAAGGTCTGTGTGAGCAGCATAATAAAAACTAAAAAAAAAAAAACTCGGTAAAAGTCGAGATACAGTAATTTCGTTCTGATCCCGACACCGGTTTTCAGTCCGACCCGCACTTCGAGGCAACTCGGACAGCTCCGTCAGTCAGTGCACTTGTAATAACTACCTACAACGCAGTATAGCGAAAATTTATATATTTTGGTTTATTACGTTAAAAATATTTATCCTTACTCTGTGGCACTGCGACATTTAATCAAGCGGTGGAAACGTGTCATAATTTGAAACGGAAAATGCGAGACAAACCTCGTTGCGCGTTGGCCACATGATAAAGGTAAGACAATGAGTGTCTTAAATATAAATTATGATAGAGGTATATAAAAATTTTAGGTATATATATTATATTAAATTATATTACATTGCATCAAATGATATTACATTATATTATATTATATTATAGCGTATAATTAAAAGCTGATAAGAATTAAACGGCAGCATTTTTTGTTCTACAAGCAGATACAATCTGTACTTGTTTTTAAACCCACTTATTGTTTTCAGGTCACGCAAGGGAGGCGGGAGGTTGTTCCAGCACTTAGTGGCATTGTCTTTGAAACTGCCTCTAAAAGCAGTCGAACGGTAGAAAGGATAAACTAATTTATAATTAGATCATCTCGTATTATACATCTCATTTTGATCTTTAGCCCAAATCAACTTATTGTAAAGATATAACGGCTCTTTGTTTCTAATAGTTCCAAATAAAAGTGAGGCGAAGTGTAGTCGTCTGCGGAGGTCCATCTTTAGGATATTTGCGTTATTTATGAAAGGCGTTACATGTGCACGTGGAGGTTTATTAAAACAGAAGCGTGCACAGGCGTTCTGTACCCTCTGTATTATTTGCCTTGTTCGTGAGAATAGACGTGGATATTTCATTTTTATATGTATGTATTAAGTGTAAAACTTTATATATATAAAAACCTAAATACAAATTCTGGTTCTTTTCTCGTTCAAAGGTTAAGCATAACTATTCAGCGAGGAAATGCAGCTAGTTCTTGGCACCATGCCGCGTGGATAACGTTTATTAGATAATATGTAATTTTAGATAGATTAAATGTTGTTAATATTATATCAATAAACTGTAAAAAAAATACAAATTAACCAACGTGAATTGAGTTGTGTAACTTTTACTTTCCAATTTTTAATCCCATTCCTTTGACACTTCCATTAACCAGGTATGCAAAATTAATAAAAAAAAAGTGGAAAAAAGTTTTATTATTTTTTAATTTCTTAGTATAAAATACACAGACTGTACAAAACACCATTACAGTATTCATCACCATTTTCTTCTTTAATTTATTACTATAATTCCTATTTAGTGGCTCCTACATTGGTAAACCTGTAAGTTACAAATGAATGTTATAGATAGGCTGGATATTAAAAATGTACGAACATGTTTACATACAGGTTTGTTATTTGGTTTTGAAATTTCATAAACCTTCTTTATTTACATATTACACATCATATTTGAGCATAGATAGATTGCTGTTAACAACTATTACAAACCTTTATCCACTGTCAATTAGGCCATCTTGTCACTGCCTATCCACTGGATTGAAACCGCTCAGTTCCCTGTAAAAAAATAATTCAGTCATTTTATTATATTGAAGTCGAATATTTAAAAAAAAACCTTGATTGATTCAAACTATGGAATTACCGTGTGCACTACAAGCAGGCACGTTCTCTGACCAATCACAGCTCTTCGTATTATAGTTAAAAGCTAAACCCGCTGGGCAGATCATTAAAACCAGAACTCTATTGTAGCACATTAGGAACTGGTCACAACTTCCGATGTTTGTTGGATATATTTCACCGTTTTGGCAGTTAGAAGTGACAGCTGGCAACGTTGCAGTTGGCATTGGTGTAGGTTCTGGCACTTTAGGGATTATTTGGGGAGGTGCAGTTGTAGGACATGGAGAGGCCGTCGTAATTTCTTGCTTTGGTGGAGACGTTGCACAAGGTTCTGCCACTTTAGGAGATATTTGGGGAGGTGCAGTTGTAGGACAGGGAGCGGTCGTCGTAATTTCTTTCTTTGGTGGAGACGTTGCACAAGGTTCTGGCACTTTAGGTTTTATTTGGGGAGGTGCTGTTGTAGAACAGGGGGCGGTCGTCGTAATTTCTTGCTTCGGTGGAGACGTTGCACATGGTTCTGGTACTTTAGGAGTTATTTGGGGAGGTAAAGTTGTAGGACAAGGAGCAGCCGTCGAGATTTCTTGCTTTGGTGGAGACGGTGCACATGGTTCTGGTATTTTAGGAGTTACTTGGGGAGGTGCAGTTGTAGGACAGGGAGCGGCCGTCGTAATTTCTTGCTTTGGTGGAGACGTTGCACAAGGTTCTGGCACTTTAGGAGTTATTTGGGGAGGTAAAGTTGTAGAACAAGGAGCAGCCGTCGAGATTTCTTGCTTTGGTGGAGACGGTGCACATGGTTCTGGTTCTTTAGGAGTTATTTGGGGAGGTGCAGTAGTAGAACAGGGAGCGGCCGTCGTAATTTTTTGCTTTGGTGGAGATGTTGCACATGGTTCTGGTACTTTAGGAGTTATTTTGAGAGGTGCTGTTGTAGGACAGGGAGCGGCCGTCGTAAATTCTTGCTTTTGTGGAGAGGTTGCACAAGGTTCTGGCACTTTAGGAGTTATTTGGGGAGGTAAAGTTGTAGGACAAGGAGCAGCCGTCGAGATTTCTTGCTTTGGTGGAGACGTTGCACATGGTTTTGGTACTTTAGGAGTTATTTGGGGAAGTGCAGTTGTAGGACAGGGAGCGGCCGTCGTAATTTCTTGCTTTGGTGGAGAAGTTGCACAAGGTTCTGGCACTTTAGGAGTTATTCGGAGAGGTTCTTGTTTTGAAGTAGAGGTTTCGCACGGCTCTCGTTGAACGGCAGCAGTAATGGAAGACTGGATTTGAGTCGACTTTTCTTCTTCTTGTGTCAATGTTTGGCAATTGCAGTCCGTAGGTTGCGAAGTTGATGTCAGATCTTTTCTTTTCAGATTTAATAACTCCTATCGTAGGTTGAAGACTTGCTCTGAGAGATTTCCAGTCCCGATACTGTGGTTTTGATTGTACTAAAAAATGAACAATGGAAATATGAAATATTTGAAATCTTATTTTAAACATATTTAAAATTATGTATGACAAATATTTTTAAATTACTTACCATGAGCTAATAGGGCAAACAAGGAGACGAAAATTAACCTGGTTCGCATCTTGATTACACTAGTATATTACCAAATAAGCTTATTGCTACGAATCCACTCGTGCACTGTTTAATTTTATGATATCTTCTGAATGTTTTATACTGAACCTAATTGGATGTAATAAATAAGGCTTGTAGTTAATTATTATTTCATTCTAAACTGGCTCATTTTCTAATCACTTTATTACAACACCCACAAGGTACAGTTGTGAGTCTTTAATTCGCACAGAACAAAAAGACCCTATTTAAATCTAATTAAATATAATCAGTTTCGACTTTAACATTGCTATTTATCCGTGGGGTAAAACTTTCATAAAACTCTATTTTTAATGCATAACTTGTAAATTGTATAAAGTTATTTTCTTATACATTTCTAAAAAATAATTCACTACTTATCTTATTTTTCATCCTCCTGCGCTTGTCCACTGGGTTATATTGGCACAACATGTCTTTCCCTTCCACTTTTCTCCCTCAGCAGTCATCTTTATACTTATCTCTTTGTCCAAACCTTACTCGTTGTTCTTTTAGCCTTACACTCCAACCACATTCTTACTCAACACTCTTCTATTTACTGACCTTCATCCCGTCACATGACGTTCCTTTACCAATTCTACCTATCTTCTCAGCCACAGGTGCCAATTAAAAACTTTTTCATTTATCGTGAATATTACATGATTGTTTAAATATATTTAATATATAAAAATCAACTTGTTATTTAACGTCAATAATACATAGAGATAAGGCAACGTAGTATATACCCTAAGTGTGTAATATTGACGGTTTCGATGAATAGTTATCCTTATCAGATCTGACTTCTCTTGAAGAATTACTTAAGTAGTTTGGTCTTTTGGATAGATGTTTTACTAAGCAGTTGAAGTCTCTGATTCCCAATCGCAGCCATTGCGGATTATTGCCCTAGTTAAATACATTCACAGTCTATTTTATTATTTAAAAAACTTTAAAATTTATAAAAAGCAATGGCGACATCTCTCGTTCGAATTATCGTTGTAAAACGATATTCGAAATTGTTTGTATGCTGGAAAGGATATAACAATAGATGGGCCAAGCATTGCTTCAAATGCTAAATAACAATGTAGAGGGAAGGCGTTCAGATTTTCGTTGCTGTGGTTATCAGCCGTTTAGCTCAGTGGCTAGAGCGACAGGCCGCGAATGCCGAAGACGTGGGTTCGATTCCCACAGCGGCGACAATCTTTTCGTACTTTTTCTACATGTTTTAATGTTCAATCTTAAGTGCAGAGATTAGCACTTTAAAAAACTTTAAAATTTATAAAAAGCAATGGCGACATCTCTCGTTCGAATTATCGTTGTAAAACGATATTCGAAATTGTTTGTATGCTGGAAAGGATATAACAATAGATGGGCCAAGCATTGCTTCAAATGCTAAATAACAATGTAGAGGGAAGGCGTTCAGATTTTCGTTGCTGTGGTTATCAGCCGTTTAGCTCAGTGGCTAGAGCGTCAGGCCGCGAATGCCGAAGACGTGGGTTCGATTCCCACAGCGGCGACAATCTTTTCGTACTTTTTCTACATGTTTTAATGTTCAATCTTAAGTGCAGAGATTAGCACTTTAAAAAACTTTAAAATTTATGAAAATTGTATTTAAAGTTCGTCATTCTTTCGCACATTCATAGCGCTTTACTCTTAGATACTTTAATCTTTATACAAGATGAAACAATCGAAAAAGTCGCTACAAGTTCCAGTAGAGTATTATTTTCATACTATAAATAGAGTGTGGTTTACTAAAATATTGCATGTGATATAGGGAAAAAGCGATTTCACTAAAATTGTTTCACTAGAAGTGTTGGAATAAAGATCTTATTTAAAGTCAGCAGGTTGTGACTAAATTACATAACGACCCAAGCATACGATGGATGTAATAAATCTAAAATTCTTGCAAAATAAACTTGGTTCAATGAAAGTTGCACAAGACTCTTTGCTTCTTTCAATAGAGGATATAGTTAGGAACTTACGCTGGTAACGAACTTCTTTAATAAATAATATTATTATTTAATATCCACCTATTTACGAAAAAACAATCCACATCGCGTCGGGGCCCTGGTGACACTCTGGAAGTACCGAGGTTTAGATTAGCTAAAACCAGAAAGTCGTTTCTTGGAAGATGCATCAACTTTTATAATAAAATAGGTGACATCCACAAACAACTAAGTATAAACAATTTCAAACAATTTGTAAAAGCTACCTTAATGGCAAGGGCTTATTATAATATCCAAGAATACATAGAGGACAAGGATGTTTGGAAATGACTCGTGCTCTGCACTTGCAAGACCCCTGGCTGCTGCTGATTTTATACCCAAATAAGTATGTATAATTGCATTAAAAAAAATATGTATAACAAAAAGAACAAGACCGCAGAGTTTCTTGCCGGTTCTTCTCTGTGCAGGTCTAGTTTAGTGAACCGGTGGTAGATTTTTGTTGACGTTCAATAAGAGTATAGTTAGGCCTATATTGAATAAATATACTTTGACTTTGACTTTGACTTTGATTAAACCCAAGTATTGTAATCAAATCAAAAATCTTTATTCAATATAGAAGCATTACACTTACTTATTGACTGTCAAAAAACACTACTACCGATTCGGAAAGAAAGCCCGGCGGAGAAGAACTGGCGAAAACACTCAGCGGGACATTTTTAATTTAACTTAATTTGACAAAAAAATAACGTAACAAACAAAATAAATTTATTAAATTCCACTTGAAAGAGCCTGGAACGATGAATTCATTTCCAGAGTGTGTTATCATTTAAATAATCACTAATAATATAATAGCCATTAACACACAAACGTTCCTTCACAAGTTTTTGAATTTAGCATCTGTTGCTAAATTCAAAAACTTTTTCATTTTGAACGTTTTCTAGGATTTTGTTGTAAAAGCGTATAAGTACATTGTCCCATAAAAGATTTAATTATTCTACGTAATCTAATTAAGGGTATAATTGTCAGAGTTCAGATTTGAAAGAGTGTAATTTTAAAGCTTAAATCCCGCAAGATCGAACTAAAACCATAAAACCGTAAGGAAATTGTAGCGTTTAAAATTTAAAACAATTAGTAAAGGCACCCGCCCAAAGTAGCCAGTCTCTCAGTGTTGAGCAGGTTGTGTTGTTGAGAGTTTACATATAAATACAAATACAAAAATATTTATTTAATTAACATATTTCTTTTATAGTTAATAAATATTTGGATTTACCTTTTAAGCAACACTTTTGCTTGTACTAGGCAGCACCGCTCTTCCATAGCATACTTATAATAAACTTAACTAAATGCAGTAAAAATGTCCAAAAAATTAAAATGAAATAAAAACATTTTCTCACCGCGCGCGTGTGTGTGTGTGTGTGTGTGTGTGTGTGTGTTTGTGTGTTTGTGTTAAGTCAGCATCAACACAATTTCAGCGTAATTTTTAGCTTTTAGCCATTCCAATATGTCACAAGACAATAGCTCTTGTGACATATTGCCTCGTAACAAAAACTGAATTTACTCGTTTATGTTGCACCACGTTACATTTTCTTCTAGAATTATTACCGATATGGTGGTAAGGAAGCGATTTGTGTTTACCCAGCACAGTTTTCAAAATATATAAATTTCTAACATTTACAAGATTAAATCTATCTAAAATTACATATTATCTAATAAAAATAGGTTCAGCCGCGGCTCATATTTGCGCCATTTACTTACTTCAGCTGCCTCCGATGCCGCCCCGGCCCTGACCGAAGTACCCCTTAGATGCGAGGCAGCCAAAGTGTCTACACAAGTGGCGTCCCAAACAAGGGCTTTGCCTCTCTCCCAAGGGATCAATGTTAAACCGTCGGGTCTCTTACCATCGTCGCGAAAAATGCCACAAGGCTCTTTAATAACTCTTCTAACAGTTAATAAATCAGAAGAGTAAAGTAAGTCTGTTGAGAATTCTCTTGGATTAAAGTAGATAAAATACGTTACACGTATGCCCGCCCTATAATTAACCAATAAAAATATAATATTATATTTTTAATAATAATTGATAGTTTATTATTTATTTCATGTAACGATATTATACATCGCATACGATCCTTAAAATTAAAAATGTTTGAAAATATAATAAAATTTTATTCTTATTTTTGAAAAGTAAGAAATTAATGGAAATTTAAAGCTTGTTGCAAGAAACATAAATTGGTTCAAAAGTTACTAATATCTGAATAATGCTACAACAATTGCCAAAAATGTTAAGTAGTCTATTACCTAACTATAGATGCATTAGTACTAATTGCATTCGCTGTAATGCATCAGGTATAAATTGACTGTAGTGGATCATTTTTTTAATCATTGTTAAACTTACCAGCAAAGACATACGGCATTAGAAAAATGTTCTTATACATTTGCCTCGCAGCTTTATGTGCCGTCTCATGTGAGTATAATTCCACGAATTCTTTCAAGCATTGTCTACGTTAAGTTAGTAAGATCGATTTTTATTTTTCTCATTCTTTTTAAGATGCTGAACAAGTTCAATCCTTTGGAGATACTGTTTGTAAAGAATACAACACCTACTACAAAATAGAGGGTAGCTGCGACTCGTACGTAGAATGCAATGTAAGTCAACTGTTTATCAAGCCTAATTTAGCAATCAAATTTAAAAAAATTGTATGAAAATATGAGGATATAAATATTTCCTATAATATCGTTCTTTTACCAGGCTTACAAGGCGACATATAAGACTTGTCCAGACGGTCTATACTTTATCAATGACGTTGTATGGCCCACCTACCCTTGCGCTTACCCATCGGACGCTCAGTGTGACAGTAACGATGCTCCTCGTACGTATTCAAATTTTATTATATTTTCACTTTTTTGTAAACCGATTTTTTAATTAAAATACGAATTAAATCGGCATCTTCGAACAGAGCGTGCTGTGGCATCTCAAGATTGCAAACACCAGTACGGGTTCTTCGCCTCGCCACTAGCGACCCGCTCCGACTGTGGCAAATATCGCATGTGCGTGGAGGGCAAAGCCTTCGAGATGGAGTGCTCCATGGGCCTGGCCTTCAACCCTGAGTCGGGCCGTTGCGACTGGCCCGACCTCGTGCCCTCCTGCGACGCTGACGGTATAAACATCTATAAGAATCCTTGCATAATTAAATAGCTAACCCTCACACTAGAATCGTATGTGATAATGTTCCTGTTTTTCCAATTTCAGCGTTCCTCGGTTTCAAATGTCCACCGGCAACTTACGACGAGTTCGGAAAGGCATACGTGGTGAACTTCGGGTAATTTCTGCATTATTTCTTCAATATTAGCTCATATGGAAGAGAATGAATTAAAAAGTCTTATTTATACCTACGTATTATCCCCGCAGCATCGCCGGCAGCTGCCACTATTTCTTCTCGTGCATGGAGAACGTGGCGCGTCTATTGGTGTGTGACCGGGGCTTCGCCTTCGACGACTCCGTCGGCCGCTGTGTCGATGCCACCCGCGTCCAGTGCCAGGAGGGCAATTGATTTTTCCTGATATGACTTACTTTCTATACCAAATAATATACAGTAGTCACTTGATATATTCAATGGAATAAAACTTATTAGACAGTAACATGTGTTAATGTTAACATTTTTAACGAACAAATATGACTTACTTTTTGACTACTGTCCTATCCTTACTTTATTCATTTTATTTTATAAGTTCATTAAGTTAGGAAGAAGAATACCTAAAAAAAACTAAAAAGTTGTGCTTAACTTCTAAGCAAGAAAGAATCAATTCACTTGTCACCAGTCTAAACGTAAATCTAAGGTCCACGGAATGAGAGTTCCCACAGCAAATGGTCAGCGTAGTTAGGCCATTCATTTATTTCAGCTGCCCATAAGGCCGCCGTGGCGAGAAATGCGACCAACACTTTTTAGACAAAAAGGTCCATTAGCACCATATTTATCTGCATTGACACACTGGTATGGTTGTGGTGGACAAATCGAACTTGCCGAGACGAATAAGCTTTCATCGTCAAGTCAAGAATGTCAAGAGATGTCAATAACTCGATTCAATTTAGATTATTTTATTTACTCGATTTAGATACCTATATAAATTAGGTGAGACACCTAGAAAACGGACTCGCTCTAAATCGCTATCTTAAGATTGAAACATAGCCTTGTGTTATCTCTGCACCAAAATAATATTCCATTGTTTTTGTGGGTTAACTTCCAGTGGAAAATTTTAATTGAAGCAGATAGACAGCATTCTCGGCAACGATGTCTTGCTTGGCTCCTTTTTATAAGAATCGGTAGTATAAATTCGCCCCGAAATCCACGCAACGATGTCTAGCTTGGCTCCTTTTTATAAGAATCGGTAGTATAAATTCGCCCCGAAATCCACGCAACGATGTCTTGCTTGGCTCCTTTTTATAAGAATCGGTAGTATAAATTCGCCCCGAAATCCACGCGGACGACGCCAAGAGCCGATTCATACGCTTAAAAAGAATCTCAAAATCAATGAAATTTACTCTCATATATAATAGTACCTGGAGGACCGAGCTTTGCTCGGTTTGTTTTTTTTTTTGTAAATCGTGTATTTTGGAAATTACATTTAGATACAAATTATTGAGTAATGAAATATGCATAATATTTTTCGATCTTACCGACTTAATAATAAGAAAATATGAAGTGGTGTTTTTCACAAAAGAAACAACTTTAAAAAGAAAGGGAAAAATAACAAAATGATCTAAATCAACAAAAAATAAAAAATAAAGAAAGCAATGATCTGGAACAGAAAAAAAAGTTAAAAAAAAGAGTGTGTAAATGATCGTGATACGAACCACGGCCGTCTGTTTTGGGGCCGCCCGATTACCGACCGAGCTATTATAACATTTTCTCTTATGGCGAAATTTACCGTCATATTCGAATGATATTTTTCATTCCCTGAAAACAGGAATAAAAGGACATTTTATAAAAATGAAACCTAGCTAGATCGATTTTTCGCCCCCGAATTTACGCACATACTAAATTTCATGAAAATCGCTGGAGCCGTTTCCGAGATTCCGATTATATACAGCGTGTCGCTACCATCGCGACAATAAATGAACACACGTCTAACGCTACTTGCCAATAATCATAAAAAAATATTAACGTTAAACAAAATCCATAATTAAAAAAAATATTTTTCAAACAAACTAATTAAGTAAAAAAGAAACAAAATTTGTAACATCCTATACAACTCGCGCCACAGCGTCGCATTACAAGCCTCTCCTTCTAACAGTATGTTTTGTCTCTTTTAAATTCATTCAACCCATTCATATGCTTTGTGACCTTTACAAATGAACTTTACGTTACGCTTTTATAGGTAAAGCTATTCTAAAATTCTTTGTTTTGGAAAAGTAAATAACTCTGTAAATATTGATGTTTAGAGAATTTAAATGTTTAATACAACTTTAAAAAGTTATCCCTTATATGTGTGTTCATTTATTGTCACGATGGTAACGACACGCTGTATATATATATACAAGAATTGCTCGTTTAAAGGATAGTTTATATTTATTAGTAAAAATATATATCATATATATTTTTACTATGATACATGTGTATGGGATAATAGTATTTCAACTATTAGAGAATTGAAATATTGGGCCTTAAGAACTGCTATTTATACCTTCATTAGTGACAGGCACATATCATAGGCAAAACCTATGCATTTAAAGTTGTTTACTTTCTTTAGATTTTTAATAAAAATTTTAGTGCTAGTGAACTTACATTTCAACTTCAATTTCAATTGCATATATGTATCACATATTCGTTGTAAAAATGCCATTGTCAATTTACTTTCTATTTGCTTTCTATTATTATCGGTACTTCCATCCGATCGACAAAAAAGTTTATTTTGTGGGTGTGTGGTAAATTTCGAATTTATATAGATTTTGTTAATTTTCTGTGTTAGTTCAGATGAATTGTTGTACATTCCAAAAATATTTTTCACGGATGCAAAAGTATTTGTGTACTTTATACAACCGATTCTTATAAAAAGGAGCCAAGACATCGTTGCCGAGAAGGCTGTCCATCTGCTTCAATGAAAATGTATTTTATGCAAAAGTATTTTATGCAAAATGTCTTTGTTGACCAAATTTCGAATAAATTAATTCTCAATGATGCTCCGAAGCCGCATTATTTACATTTAGGGATCGTGAAACTTCCCCTCCGACCGGGTTCCAGCCTTGACGCTGGGGGCTGGGAGGCTTGCTGCTTATTAGCACTGGCTCTCCAGGCTCCCATGGCCGCGGTCAGCGAACTCGAAGGAGTTCGTTGGCCGTAAAAATGGGGCCGAGTAGGAAGGCGCACTGGAAAATTCAGCGCGCACTTCTTATCGGGCCCCATTTACCTGGAGGAGAGGGAAGTAGATCCCCGGGATGGGGCTGCTGAGGCGGCCAGCGCTGGCAGGGTCGTGGAACCTAGGCCCAGGTGGAACATCGTGGGGTTTTAGTCGGTTAGAGTCCCACATAACCCGCTCTTGCCCCCGCGAGGACGGGTATGCGTAGGCATTTCCCCCACGTAAACAAACAGATTACCAGTAAATTAATCACCAGGGAATGCAATTGTACCTGTTGTAGGCGTATTAGTTTCACTTGTAAATGATTTTAGGTAAAATCGACCCATCAACAGCTGTTTACTTTCGGTGTAAACAGATAGTTTGTAATAAAATAAACATATCAAGGATAGCGACTGTGGCAAATTCTCAGTTATATCAGTTATGGAACTCTTAGAATTCAACAAACCAAATCAACCAGCCACTTAAACCCTTAATTGTAATTTTGCTGCTAGAAGAAAAATTTACGAAGGCCAATAACCGTGAGTCATTTTGAACAGTTAGAATTAAATTATTTACAAAAACTATTCGTTTCTATTTATCTTATAGGTCACGATCAGATCAGATGATTCGCAGTGTATTCCTTTGCAATGACTTGAATCTTTCAATTTCGATTTAATATTAGTATGAAACTATTCTTTAATGCCCTTTTAAGTCTAAGTGAATCATGCTATTAATAATAAAAACATATCTTTTTATAACTGACATGGACATTTCTTAAAAATAAACTATAAATGGTTAGGAAATATCAGAAAGAATCAGTTTCCCTCTTGGCACTGGACGCGGGTGGCGTCGACGCAGCGGCCGACGGAGTCGTCGAAGGCGAAGCCCCGGTCACACACCAATAGTCGCGCCACATTCTCCATGCACGAGAAGAAATAGTGGCAGCTGCCGGCGATGCTGTGGGGTGAATAAATCGGTTAAAATAAATGTTTCATTCTTTCATTCATTCAAACATTCATTCATTCTTTTCCATGTGAGCTAATATTGAAGAAATAATGCAGCAATTACCCGAAGTTCACCACGTAAGCTTTTCCGAACTCGTCGTAAGTTGCCGGTGGACACTTGAAACCGAGGAACGCTGAAATTGGAAAAACAGGAACATTATCACATACGATTCTAGTGTGAGGGTTAGCTATTGTATTATTCAAGGATTCTTATAGATGTTTATACCGTCAGCGTCGCAGGAGGGCACGAGGTCGGGCCAGTCGCAACGGCCGGACTCAGGGTTGAAGGCTAGGCCCATGGAGCACTCCATCTCGAAGGCTTTGCCCTCCACGCACATGCGATATTTGCCACAGTCAGAACGGGTCGCTAGTGGCGACGCGAAGAATCCATATTGGTGTTTGCAATCTTGAGATGCCACAGCACGCTCTGTTCAAAGATTCCAAGTTTAATTCGAATTTCAATTATTAATTTCAGTTTAAAAAAAGTGAAAATATAATAAAATGTGAATACGTACGAGGAGCATCGTTACTGTCACACTGAGCGTCCGATGGGTAAGCGCAAGGATAGGTGGGCCAAACCACATCATTAATGAAGTATAGACCATCGGGGCAAGTCTTGTAGGTTGCCTTGTAAGCCTGGTAAAGGATAATGAAAACAATTTAATGTATATTTCATTTCATTACTGTATAAGGGTCTTTGTGAAATGAGTTTGCCCAACATTTGGACTGCAACTCCTGATAATAACAATTCTTTTGTTTTTATGCGAGAAGGTGGCAAACGAGCTGGCGGTTCACGGTTGCAGATGCGTTGCCAACTTTTAATAAAGTAGGTTCCAGCTTCAACAAGTTTAAAAAAAACTGTTAAAGAGTTCGTAGAAGATTAGTTATTTAAAAGGGTTGAAGATTGTATTACTCACATTGCATTCCACGTACGAGTCACAGCTGCCTTGAATTTTATAGTAGGTATTATATTCCTTACAAACAGTATCTCCAACGCCTTCGTAAGGCTGAACTTGTTCAGCACCTTTGAGGAAAAAGAAAACATAACATTTTATTATTATGAACAAAATGTCTCCATTAACAATTATCAAAAGCTTTAAATCAATCCTTACAAGAAATTGTGCAAAAAGCAGCGATGCAAATGTAGATAAACATTTTTTCGAATAATATTCTTCTTTGGCGCCAAAAGAAGTAATGACAAAAAGTTCTCATCTAAACTCAATTTATATTCACCAGAGTGATTTGTCTATGTTTGCTAATTTGTTTTTGTGTAGTGGAATTGGTTATTTTGTAATTAATTAGGTAATTACGTAAATTACTGCGAAATTTTACTGTAACAGGTACTTATGCTTAAAAAAATTATTATAAGTAGTTAGTTAAAATTTTTTTACGAAAATCAATTACTATTCTAAATCAACAAAAAAATCTGTTACTTCTTTTTCTAGGTACTTTAGTGGATTTAGAAGTCTTCTCTACATAGTATATAATAAAGTCGTCCCGCTCTCTGTCTGTCCCTATGTATGCTTAGGTCTTTTAAAACTACGCAACGGATCTTGATGCGGTTTTTTCTTACTAGATAGATTGCTTCAAGAGGAAGGTTTATATGTATAATACATCGCACGAAGCCGTGGCGGGTCGCTAGTTTATTCAATAAATTATACTTACAAGTACTATGGATACTGCATTGTGGGTTTTTATTTCAATTTCATCTAGTTTACTTTAATGAAACTTAATATTTTTCGTACAGTCTACAATCAGTTTAAGCTGCAGTTTTTTGACTAAAATTAAAAAGTAAAAGTAAAGTAACAGCCTATACATGCTACACTGCTGGGTAAAGGGCATAGTCCACCACGGCGGATTGGCGGACTTCACATTTATCTTCGAAATATTTTTGAAGTTAACTTCTTTTGACGCGTTAGGGAAAATTTATGAGATTAAATTTTTACGATGCGCGCACACACCTTCACGAAAAACCGACACCCTGAAGTTAGCTAGACATCTACGTATATTTGCGTGAGAACTGACAACTGTATTCACGATATTTATTTTGTGATATTTAAATAAACTTTATTTAACTAGATAATGCTTTATAATAAAACTTTCAATGTATTAAATACCTTTTTTCTAATGTTAGTGTCGTTTTTTCTACAAACGTAGAATAAGGCGAAAGATAAAATTTTTGAAAAGGTTTTTATCTTTTTACGCGAAATAAGTATAACTTCTAACGCGTGTACATAAATTAAGTACACACACACTTTTTTTGAGCACGTGATAAGGCAGCACTTCAAACAATTATAATGGTACCGGCATCGGAAATCGAACTCAGGTTGCTCTATTATTCTATTTATATTTATATATATGTCCTTTTAATCGGCTCCGACGATTTTCATGAAAATTAGTATAGTTTCGGGGGCGATAAATCGATCTACGCGTAGGTAGATTTTCTTTTTAGAAAAACTGCTACAGTATAATTTTTTTTCTTTTTTCCCTTTTTTTCCAAGTTCCTTTTGTGTGACAAAAAAACGAGCAAAGCTTGGTAATCCACGTACTACATGTTATCTTTTTTTAACTATTATTACTTTTGTTGCGTTTAAAGCTACCAACTTATATGTAAATTCGGCAATAAAAATTATTTTTTCTTTCCAAAAATCTCATATCTTTATATAACATTTACATAAAGATATGAGATACGTATATAAGTAATAAACTATTGAATTTATTGTTTCTCAAAATATTCTATCTTTGCGCAAATGTACTTTTTCACACCATAAACCAACTTTGCAAACATTTGTGCCACTCCTCTGTGGTGACTCTCATAAATGTGTCTTTATACTATTCGACAGCCTCTTCTGTTGATGAAAATCGTTGACCGCGAATTTGTTATTAATTTAAAGTTTGATAACTCCGTAGCGCACTTGTCAAGGTATTGGCTTCGGCGCCGGGGGTCGTGGGTTCGATTCCCACACGGGACAAGTATTTCTGTGACCCACAGATAATTGTTTCGCATCTGCCAGTTGCCAAAAGAGCATACCGCCACCCATGGACATCTGCTACACCCGAAGGTTACAGATGCGTTCACGACCTTTATAAAATTGGGCTCCGGCTACCTCACTCACCAGACGAAACGCGAAAGTATTTGTCATACTTCCACTTTACGCTGGTCTTCTGTGAGGTCGTGGTACTTACCCGGACGGGCCTGCCCATTCGTGCCGCGTGGCCCTACCGCCGTAAAAATAAATCTATAAAAACGGCAAAAAATCATGTTTCTTGTTCCCATACAACGCTTATTTTTTAGTACTTCTGGGGCCTTTTTAGGGTTCCGTACCCAAAGGGTAAAACGGGACCCTTTTACTAAGACTGCAGTCTGTCTGTCCCTCTGTCAACAGGCTGTATCTCATGAACTGTGATAGTTACACAGTTGAAATTTGATCTGGATGTTTGTTTCCCAAGGAGGGTTGACGTCAGGCAGGCGACTGGTTGTAAATAGCCAAACCGCTTACAACATGATTCATGCTGTGCCGACCCCACCTAGGTGGGATAGGGGCAGAAGGATGATGATGACTTGACGATTTGAACGAAAGACTGTTGAGCATAATGCAAGAAAGCGGATCTTTTACTGCGAGCTAAAACTCGATTACTAACTCTAGTCGTTGACGTTTGTTGTTTTACTCTCTAATCTCGTAGGCGTTGGGAACGCTCAGAGCTCGATTCCCTAGTGTGAATTTGTATATTTATATTATTTTGCTCTTCAATCCGCTGCAAACACTCTACTTGACTCTCTCCGACTTGTAAGACGATTTCCGGTAAAGAAAGATGAGATCTTGATCTTTTGGACTTTTTAAAATGATAAAAAAAATTAAACTGCCTTTGTGCTTAACTATTTGGTAACTGTTGAACAGGATTTAGCAGTATAAATGTGATTGAAAAATTATAAGAACTTCTAAGTCAGTCACTAAGCTGTTTGGATAGTTAAATTACAATATACTAACATTTTTTAACTTGTGATATCTGTCGAATGGAATGTCCGAATTTAATAATTCAAAAAGTTATATAAAGATATTGAAACAGTCTTAAATATGAAGTAATTCATTTTTATAAGGATTCATTACAAGATACAAATAAAGAGCCTTTTCTAGCGGCGGCATTTCAATACTACTACTTTAATAGTTAGACATATATTGTCCCGACACTTTTTGTAAATAATGATGTGTTCTGCAAAGTCGTAGTACATTATTTCATTCTATCATCAATAGTTTTCGCAGCGCACGCGATGTAAAGAATATTTTGGGTAAATTTGTACACTTTGGGTTACATTATTGAAGTTTTAGAAAGGATCCCTAGTTTTTTTGAAAATATAATATAATAGCCTATATCATGCGGGGATAATGTAGCTTCCCGAAAGTGAAGAATTTTTCAAATCGGTTCAGTAGTTTCGGAGCCTATAATCAATAAATCTTTCCTCTGTATAATATTAGTATAGTTAAAAGATAGCGTATAAAAAATACGCAGTTACGAACAAACACGTAATTTTATTTTGGTAAAATATTGGCTTTAAGCTAATATTCTGAATTAACCCAAAAATGAAGTTTCAATTAATAAGGACTATTTAAATGAATGAACTTTATGGACATTTTAATGCAGAAATAGTTATCGTCGTTTACGACTTAAAACCAACGAAACCTAGGATATAAATTTATATTATATTTATTTTGTGTTTCTATTTCGTAATTTGTAAATATTATTCATATTTAAATGTAAAATATTACATTAGATGAAAAAGTACTGACCAAACATTGTCAACGAAACGAAACTTAGGATAAATCACAATTTCACACAAAAAAATAATTTCATGACACAATAAGAAACAATACATTATTAATGTATTGTTTTTTATTGTGTATATTTATTTAAAATTATTTCAGCAATCTGTCAAAGATTTAGATAAATATAACGAATCGAAACGTATACAATTTTAAATATTTATATCATAAGACAATTAACGTAATAAGGTAAGAGGTTCTCCTGCAACTTACCGCACGTTAACGGTAGTCATTGCTAACATACCATATTAATTAAGAGTAATGAATAATTACTAATCATTATTATTCGCCAATCTTAATTGCGCAAATCATTTAACATTTTCATATAAAATATGCAGTTTATTAAACATCAATACATTTTACAAGTGAAGCAGCAACAGATACTCGTAACTCGTCCAAGTATTTTATTTTCTTATTTTGTCATAACATGCTGCATAAGAGGGTCCTTTTTGTGTTTTGGTTGGCTTCTATAGTCCAAGGTAAGTGGTACAAACAATTTCAAGAGTAATTTTAATGCGATAAATGTATTGAGAGATCTCTATTGACTTTTTTACTTTCCAGTCCAATCAAAACCTCAATACCAAGATTGGAGATCCTATGGAATTGTTCAAAATGCATCCTCATCGACATCAGAGAAATCTAATCCGGTTCAAAGTATACCATCGGAGTTAGGGAATTGCAACTGTCACGATATGTCAACTGCTACTTCCGTTCCAAGCCGAATAGTGCCTAAAGTACCTGATCCATGCACCCCACCTGCACGTGAACCTGAACCTTCAACTGCTGCTCCCTGTGCTTCACCGGCTCCCACACCAGCACCCACCCAAATAGTACCAAAGGTCCCAGAACCATGCATCACCCCAGCACCCAAACCTGAACCTTCAACTGCGGCTCCCTGTGTTACACCGGCTCCAAAACCTGCACCCACCCAAATAGTACAGAAGGTTCCAGAACCATGCATCACCCCAGCACATAAACTAGAACCTTCAACTGCTGCTCCCTGTGTTACTCCGGCCCCCACACCAGCACCCACCCAAATAGTACCAAAGATCCCAGAACCATGCATCACCCCAGCACCCAAACCTGAACCTTCAACTGCGGTTCCCTGTGTTACACCGGCTCCGACGACTGCACCCACCCAAATTGTACCAAAAGTACCAGAACCTTGTACCAGCCCCTCACGTAAACCAGAACCTTCGACTTCAGCACCTTGTGTTACACCTGCTCCTACTCCTGCACCGACCCAAACAGTACCAAAAGTGCCTAAACCTTGTGTCAAATCTACACCAAAACCAGAACCCTCGACATCTGCCCCCTGTGTTATACCCGCCTCTACCCCCGCCCCTACACCAGCTCCTACCCCTGCACCGACCCAAGTAGTACCAAAAACGCCTGAACCGTGTGATACGTCAGCACCGAATCAGGAAATAAAGGTAACGCCAGCACCGGCTGTCATATCACAGACACAAGCACCGACCAATGCTCCTTCTGCCCCGACCAACTGTCAAAACGGTGAAATCTATCCTTCAAGCAGCGGCAGCTGTGATCAGTTCCTTATGTGCTACAACAGAGTGCTGGTCTTGATGATCTGTCCTCCCGGCCTAGCATTCAACTATAATACGAAGAGCTGTGATTGGTCAGCAAACGTACCGGCGTGTAGTGCTGGAGGTAATTTCTTAATTTGTTCGCATTTTTGATGATTATGTTGCATTTGTATATTAAGTCAACTGGTTATATCCTATTTTATTATTTACAGCATACTAGAGAGGCTCCGTAGAAGAGAGGCAGCACGAAGATATCTTAATTGAATGATGTTCTCACTATCAGTCCGAAGCAACACGAAGCTAGAGAATCTGTAGATAGTTCTTATAATTAATTTAGTTGTAAATATATCTTATTTTAATCCTTAAAGCTATTTTCTTAAGACCTTATCGCTTCATAAAACATTCATGATTTTAAGTTTTCACTTAGAGATAACATTTGCGTTATTCTTTAAGACATGTCGTCGTAGGACTTCGCTATTGATACTTATTAATCAACCACAGTAAACTAGCAACGTCAATTACGGTATGTTTCCCGAAATTGTAGAAAAAATAGAGTACAGCTGCCATTTTTTTATTTAGGACTTATTGTTAAGTTTATAAAAATTGAACAATGTGTCATAAACATAAATAAATAGCAAGTGCATGTGTGCGTACTCGTACATGGTCGACAATCACTTGTAGGGTTTCAATAAGTAACAGCCTCAGTAATAGAGCTCTACAAAAAAGTATATACTTAAGTAAAAAATTAAAAAAAAATACATGTATATGTATATCAAGAAACTCTGCAGTCATATATATGACCGAAGACCGAAGAGTTTCTTGCTGGTTCTTCTCTTGCAGGCCTAGTTTACAATTGAATCAGTATCAATTACAAAATTGTTAACTCAGTGGCCCATTCTGAGTTACTAGCTAAAATAGGCATGAATACAAACTATCGTAGTCGTAATGCCAAATTATTTTATATTCGACTAGCATCTACCAAATTTGCCCAAAATATCGTACAACAAACTTACAACCATTGATGAATCAGTAGATATATTCCATCAGAAGCTGAGTGCATTCAAACGAATATAGTATAGTATAGATGTATAGATATTCATTGCAATGTAAAGCGTATACATTAGAATACGAGTAGCACATGGGCTACAATTTATAAAGATTTTGTGTAATATTGCCATAATAATACGATAAGTATTATGTATCGTGGAATTGTTTGTCTTACTGCCGGTTTCATAATTCGATCTACAGATAGACTTGGCTACCGAAGACAGAATTTCGATGTAAGTTTTATGTAACTAATGTCAAATACCTATCGCTAGTAACAAAATCTTTCTGTAAATAGAATATTGAAACCAGACGTTAAACAGTTCTGAATAAAAATCCGCGACAACATATATATATATATATATATATATATATATATATATAATATGTGGAAGCCAATATATGCGTTATAGTGCTCGGGTATTCGGGACTGCAGATAGAATTAAGTAACATAGTTCCTCGAAAGCATACACGGAGGCATGTGATGTATATGAAGCGTGGCAAAATGCTCGACCATTGACAAGGAACTTGAAGATGAAATTCACAAAGAAGCATAATTTTCGTAGCTAGTTCTTCGGAGATTTTTCATTGCAAATGCTTTAACCATTAAGCTACATGACTGATTGCCACACCGACGAAAATCTCAACGTCAAGCAATCCTTGGTGATTTTGTTGTTACATCTTTTATAGCATACAACAATTTCAATTTTGTTTTACAACGAAATTCGAACGAGAGATTAAAATTAAATTTTTATATGCTAATCTCTGCACGTATGATGAAACATTTAAATTCGTAGAAAATAGGACGAAAAGTTTCTCCCCGCTGCGGGAATCGATCCCACGTCTTCGGGATTTCTTTTCTGTACAAATAAATGTCTCATTTTTAATAAAAAATTCATATTGGCATGTGCATCATGGTGTATTGTTTCTTATTGTGTCATGAAATTATTTTTTTGTGTGAAATTGTGATTTATCCTAAGTTTCGTTTCGTTGACAATGTTTGGTCAGTACTTTTTCATGTAATGTAATATTTTACATTTAAATATGAATAATATTTACAAATTACGAAATAGAAACACAAAATAAATATAATATAAATTTATATCCTAGGTATCGTTGGTTTTAAGTCGTAAACGACGATAACTATTTCTGCATTAAAATGTCCATAAAGTTCATTCATTTTAATAGTCCTTATTAATTGAAACTCATTTTTGGGTTTAATTCAGAATATTAGCTTAAAGCCAATATTTTACCAAAATAAAATTACGTGTTTGTTCGTAACTGCGTTTTATACGCTATCTTTTATCTATACTAATATTATACAGAGGAAAGATTTGATTGTTTGTATGTATTGAATAGGCTCCGAAACTACTGAACCGATTTGAAAAATTCTTTCACTTTCGGGAAGCTACATTATCCCCGCATGATATAGGCTATATTATATTTTCAAAAAACTAGGGATCCTTTCTAAAACTTCAATAATGTAACCCAAAGTGTACAAATTTACCCAAAATATTCTTTACATCGCGTGCGCTGCGAAAAACTATTGATGATAGAATGAAATAATGTACTACGACTTTGCAGAACACATCATTATTTACAAAAAGTGTCGGGACAACATATGTTTAACTATTATAGTAGTAGTGTTGAAATGCCACCGCTAGAAAAAGGCTCATTATTTGTATCTTGTAATTAATCCTTATAAAAATGAATTACTTCATATTTAAGACTGTTTCAATATCTTTATAAAACTTAAATTAAAACGGAACTGTTATCTGGTCAGCGGCCTTTAGATCGTTTTGGCGTTATTTTAAAGATGGAGAAATTCATAAAATTATTCATCAAAGACGAAATATCCGGAAGGTTTTATGTGTGTGTGATAATTTTTAATTTAAAATTTTTGTTAAATACCCGTGCGAAGCCGGGGCAGGCCGCTAGTTATGATAATAAATTATGTCAGACGTAGTAAGTGTCATACATAGGTCACACTAAATGTTTCCGGAACTTGCCACTCACACAAACAATATTTGCAAAGTAATTACAACATTGGAAAAGAAAAAAGGCTCCACTCTTTCTTTCCACGTTGCTTGAAATTATATTGACCGATTGAAAATATATAGATAAGAAAATAATAGTTACTTGAACTTATTCCTACAAGAACAAGTCGTCTTTATGAGGAGTACAATACCGTGTACTTAATGAAGGAAAATGGGAATAAATAAACCATGATGCACATGCCAATATGATTTTTTTATTAAAAATGAGACATTTATTTGTACAGAAAAGAAATCCCGAAGACGTGGGATCGATTCCCGCAGCGGGGAGAAACTTTTCGTCCTATTTTCTACGAATTTAAATGTTTCATCATACGTGCAGAGATTAACATATAAAAATTTAATTTTAATCTCTCGTTCGAATTTCGTTGTAAAACAAAATTGAAATTGTTGTATGCTATAAAAGATGTAACAACAAAATCACCAAGGATTGCTTGACGTTGAGATTTTCGTCGGTGTGGTGGCAATCAGTCATGTAGCTTAATGGTTAAAGCATTTGCAATGAAAAATCTCCGAAGAACTAGCTACGAAAATTATGCTTCTTTGTGAATTTCATCTTCAAGTTCCTTGTCAATGGTCGAGCATTTTGCCACGCTTCATATACATCACATGCCTCCGTGTATGCTTTCGAGGAACTATGTTACTTAATTCTATCTGCAGTCCCGAATACCCGAGCACTATAACGCATATATTGGCTTCCACATATTTTATATATATATATATATATATATATAAAATATATATATATATATATATATATATATATATATGTTGCCGCGGATTTTTATTCAGAACTGTTTAACGTCTGGTTTCAATATTCTATTTACAGAAAGATTTTGTTACTAGCGATAGATATTTGACATTAGTTACATAAAACTTACATCGAAATTCTGTCTTCGGTAGCCAAGTCTATCTGTAGATCGAATTATGAAACCGGCAGTAAGAAAAACAATTCCACGATACATAATACTTATCGTATTATTATGGCAATATTACACAAAATCTTTATAAATTGTAGCCCATGTGCTACTCGTATTCTAATGTATACGCTTTACATTGCAATGAATATCTATACATCTATACTATACTATATTCGTTTGAATGCACTCAGCTTCTGATGGAATATATCTACTGATTCATCAATGGTTGTAAGTTTATTGTACGATATTTTGGGCAAATTTGGTAGATGCTAGTGGAATATAAAATAATTTGGCATTACGACTACGATAGTTTGTATTCATGCCTATTTTAGCTAGTAACTCAGAATGGGCCACTGAGTTAACAATTTTGTAATTGATACTGATTCAAAGTCAACTGTAAACTAGGCCTGCAAGAGAAGAATCAGCAAGAAACTCTTCGGTCTTCGGTCATATATATGACTGCAGAGTTTCTTGATATACATATACATGTATTTTTTTTTAATTTTTTTTAATTTTTTATTTAAGTATATACTTTTTTGTAGAGCTCTATTACTGAGGCTGTTACTTATTGAAACCCTACAAGTGATTGTCGACCATGTACGAGTACGCACACATGCACTTGCTATTTATTTATGTTTATGACACATTGTTCAATTTTTATAAACTTAACAATAAGTCCTAAATAAAAAAATGGCAGCTGTACTCTATTTTTTCTACAATTTCGGGAAAAATACCGTAATTGACGTTGCTAGTTTACTGTGGTTGATTAATAAGTATCAATAGCGAAGTCCTACGACGACATGTCTTAAAGAATAACGCAAATGTTATCTCTAAGTGAAAACTTAAAATCATGAATGTTTTATGAAGCGATAAGGTCTTAAGAAAATAGCTTTAAGGATTAAAATAAGATATATTTACAACTAAATTAATTATAAGAACTATCTACAGATTCTCTAGCTTCGTGTTGCTTCGGACTGATAGTGAGAACATCATTCAATTAAGATATCTTCGTGCTGCCTCTCTTCTACGGAGCCTCTCTAGTATGCTGTAAATAATAAAATAGGATATAACCAGTTGACTTAATATACAAATGCAACATAATTCATCAAAAATGCGAACAAATTAAGAAATTACCTCCAGCACTACACGCCGGTACGTTTGCTGACCAATCACAGCTCTTCGTATTATAGTTGAATGCTAGGCCGGGAGGACAGATCATCAAGACCAGCACTCTGTTGTAGCACATAAGGAACTGATCACAGCTGCCGTTGCTTGAAGGATAGATTTCACCGTTTTGGCAGTTGGTCGGGGCAGAAGGAGCATTGGTCGGTGCTTGTGTCTGTGATATGACAGCCGGTGCTGGCGTTACCTTTATTTCCTGTTTCGGTGCTGACGTATCACACGGTTCAGGCGTTTTTGGTACTACTTGGGTCGGTGCAGGGGTAGGAGCTGATGTAGGGGCGGGGGTAGAGGCGGGTATAACACAGGGGGCAGATGTCGAGGGTTCTGGTTGTGGTGTAGATTTGACACAAGGTTTAGGCACTTTTGGTACTGTTTGGGTCGGTGCAGGAGTAGGAGCAGGTGTAACACAAGGTGCTGAAGTCGAAGGTTCTGGTTTACGTGAGGGGCTGGTACAAGGTTCTGGTACTTTTGGTACAATTTGGGTGGGTGCAGTCGTCGGAGCCGGTGTAACACAGGGAACCGCAGTTGAAGGTTCAGGTTTGGGTGCTGGGGTGATGCATGGTTCTGGGACTTTTGGTACTATTTGGGTGGGTGCTGGTGTGGGGGCCGGAGTAACACAGGGAGCAGCAGTTGAAGGTTCTAGTTTATGTGCTGGGGTGATGCATGGTTCTGGAACCTTCTGTACTATTTGGGTGGGTGCAGGTTTTGGAGCCGGTGTAACACAGGGAGCCGCAGTTGAAGGTTCAGGTTTGGGTGCTGGGGTGATGCATGGTTCTGGGACCTTTGGTACTATTTGGGTGGGTGCTGGTGTGGGAGCCGGTGAAGCACAGGGAGCAGCAGTTGAAGGTTCAGGTTCACGTGCAGGTGGGGTGCATGGATCAGGTACTTTAGGCACTATTCGGCTTGGAACGTAAGTAGCAGTTGACATATCGTGACAGTTGCAATTCCCTAACTCCGATGGTATACTTTGAACCGGATTAGATTTCTCTGATGTCGATGAGGATGCATTTTGAACAATTCCATAGGATCTCCAATCTTGGTATTGAGGTTTTGATTGGACTGGAAAGTAAAAAAGTCAATAGATATCTCTCAATACATTTATCCCATTAAAATTACTCTTGAAATTGTTTGTACCACTTACCTTGGACTATAGAAGCCAACCAAAACACAAAAAGGACCCTCTTATGCAGCATGTTATGACAAAATATGAAAATAAAATACTTGGACGAGTTACGAGTATCTGTTGCTGCTTCACTTGTAAAATGTATTGATGTTTAATAAACTGCATATTTTATATGAAAATGTTAAATGATTTGCGCAATTAAGATTGGCGAATAATAATGATTGGTAATTATTCATTACTCTTAATTAATATGGTATGTTAGCAATGACTACCGTTAACGTGCGGTAAGTTGCAGGAGAACCTCTTACCTTATTACGTTAATTGTCTTATGATATAAATATTTAAAATTGTATACGTTTCGATTCGTTATATTTATCTAAATCTTTGACAGATTGCTGAAAAATAATTTTAAATAAATATACACAATAAAAAACAATACATTAATAATGTATTGTTTCTTATTGTGTCATGAAATTATTTTTTTGTGTGAAATTGTGATTTATCCTAAGTTTCGTTTCGTTGACAATGTTTGGTCAGTACTTTTTCATCTAATGTAATATTTTACATTTAAATATGAATAATATTTACAAATTACGAAATAGAAACACAAAATAAATATAATATAAATTTATATCCTAGGTATCGTTGGTTTTAAGTCGTAAACGACGATAACTATTTCTGCATTAAAATGTCCATAAAGTTCATTCATTTAAATAGTCCTTATTAATTGAAACTTCATTTTTGGGTTTAATTCAGAATATTAGCTTAAAGCCAATATTTTACCAAAATAAAATTACGTGTTTGTTCGTAACTGCGTTTTATATCTTTTATCTATACTAATATTATACAGAGGAAAGATTTGATTGTTTGTATGTATTGAATAGGCTCCGAAACTACTGAACCGATTTGAAAAATTCTTTCACTTTTGGGAAGCTACATTATCCCCGCATGATATAGGCTATTATATTATATTTTCAAAAAACTAGGGATCCTTTCTAAAACTTCAATAATGTAACCCAAAGTGTACAAATTTACCCAAAATATTCTTTACATCGCGTGCGCTGCGAAAACTATTGATGATAGAATGAAATAATGTACTACGACTTTGCAGAACACATCATTATTTACAAAAAGTGTCGGGACAACATATGTCTAACTACTATAGTAGTAGTATTGAAGTGCCACCCCTAGGAAAAGGCTCATTATTTGTATCTTGTAATTAATCCTTATAAAAATGAATTACTTCATATTTAAGACTGTTTCAATATCTTTATAAAACTTAAATTAAAACGGAACTGTTATCTGGTCAGCGGCCTTTAGATCGTTTTGGCGTTATTTTAAAGATGGAGAAATTCATAAAATTATTCATCAAAGACGAAATATCCGGAAGGTTTTATGTGTGTGTGATAATTTTTAATTTAAAATTTTTGTTAAATACCCGTGCGAAGCCGGGGCAGGCCGCTAGTTATGATAATAAATTATGTCAGACGTAGTAAGTGTCATACATAGGTCACACTAAATGTTTCCGGAACTTGACACTCACACAAACAATATTTGCAAAGTAATTACAACATTGGAAAAGAAAAAAGGCTCCACTCTTTCTTTCCACGTTGCTTGAAATTATATTGACCGATTGAAATATATAGATAAGAAAATAATAGTTACTTGAACTTATTCCTACAAGAACAAGTCGTCTTTATGAGGAGTAGAATACCGTGTACTTAATGAAGGAAAATGGGAATAAATAAACCATGATGCACATGCCAATATGAATTTTTTATTAAAAATGAGACATTTATTTGTACAGAAAAGAAATCCCGAAGACGTGGGATCGATATATATATATATATATATATATATATATATATATATATATATATATATAATATGTGGAAGCCAATATATGCGTTATAGTGCTCGGGTATTCGGGACTGCAGATAGAATTAAGTAACATAGTTCCTCGAAAGCATACACGGAGGCATGTGATGTATATGAAGCGTGGCAAAATGCTCGACCATTGACAAGGAACTTGAAGATGAAATTCACAAAGAAGCATAATTTTCGTAGCTAGTTCTTCGGAGATTTTTCATTGCAAATGCTTTAACCATTAAGCTACATGACTGATTGCCACACCGACGAAAATCTCAACGTCAAGCAATCCTTGGTGATTTTGTTGTTACATCTTTTATAGCATACAACAATTTCAATTTTGTTTTACAACGAAATTCGAACGAGAGATTAAAATTAAATTTTTATATGTTAATCTCTGCACGTATGATGAAACATTTAAATTCGTAGAAAATAGGACGAAAAGTTTCTCCCCGCTGCGGGAATCGATCCCATGTCTTCGGGATTTCTTTTCTGTACAAATAAATGTCTCATTTTTAATAAAAAAATCATATTGGCATGTGCATCATGGTTTATTTATTCCCATTTTCCTTCATTAAGTACACGGTATTGTACTCCTCATAAAGACGACTTGTTCTTGTAGGAATAAGTTCAAGTAACTATTATTTTCTTATCTATATATTTTCAATCGGTCAATATAATTTCAAGCAACGTGGAAAGAAAGAGTGGAGCCTTTTTTCTTTTCCAATGTTGTAATTACTTTGCAAATATTGTTTGTGTGAGTGGCAAGTTCCGGAAACATTTAGTGTGACCTATGTATGACACTTACTACGTCTGACATAATTTATTATCATAACTAGCGGCCTGCCCCGGCTTCGCACGGGTATTTAACAAAAATTTTAAATTAAAAATTATCACACACACATAAAACCTTCCGGATATTTCGTCTTTGATGAATAATTTTATGAATTTCTCCATCTTTAAAATAACGCCAAAACGATCTAAAGGCCGCTGACCAGATAACAGTTCCGTTTTAATTTAAGTTTTATAAAGATATTGAAACAGTCTTAAATATGAAGTAATTCATTTTTATAAGGATTAATTACAAGATACAAATAATGAGCCTTTTTCTAGCGGTGGCATTTCAACACTACTACTATAATAGTTAAACATATGTTGTCCCGACACTTTTTGTAAATAATGATGTGTTCTGCAAAGTCGTAGTACATTATTTCATTCTATCATCAATAGTTTTCGCAGCGCACGCGATGTAAAGAATATTTTGGGTAAATTTGTACACTTTGGGTTACATTATTGAAGTTTTAGAAAGGATCCCTAGTTTTTTGAAAATATAATATAGCCTATATCATGCGGGGATAATGTAGCTTCCCGAAAGTGAAAGAATTTTTCAAATCGGTTCAGTAGTTTCGGAGCCTATTCAATACATACAAACATCAAATCTTTCCTCTGTATAATATTAATATAGTTAAAAGATAGCGTATAAAACGCAGTTACGAACAAACACGTAATTTTATTTTGGTAAAATATTGGCTTTAAGCTAATATTCTGAATTAAACCCAAAAATGAGTTTCAATTAATAAGGACTATTTAAATGAATGAACTTTATGGACATTTTAATGCAGAAATAGTTATCGTCGTTTACGACTTAAAACCAACGATACCTAGGATATAAATTTATATTATATTTATTTTGTGTTTCTATTTCGTAATTTGTAAATATTATTCATATTTAAATGTAAAATATTACATTACATGAAAAAGTACTGACCAAACATTGTCAACGAAACGAAACTTAGGATAAATCACAATTTCACACAAAAAAATAATTTCATGACACAATAAGAAACAATACACCATGATGCACATGCCAATATGAATTTTTTATTAAAAATGAGACATTTATTTGTACAGGAAAGAAATCCCGAAGACGTGGGATCGATATATATATATATATATATATATATATATATATATATATATATATATATGTGGAAGCCAATATATGCGTTATAGTGCTCGGGTATTCGGGACTGCAGATAGAATTAAGTAACATAGTTCCTCGAAAGCATACACGGAGGCATGTGATGTATATGAAGCGTGGCAAAATGCTCGACCATTGACAAGGAACTTGAAGATGAAATTCACAAAGAAGCATAATTGTCGTAGCTAGTTCTTCGGAGATTTTTCATTGCAAATGCTTTAACCATTAAGCTACATGACTGATTGCCACACCGACGAAAATCTCAACGTCAAGCAATCCTTGGTGATTTTGTTGTTACATCTTTTATAGCATACAACAATTTCAATTTTGTTTTATAACGAAATTCGAACGAGAGATTAAAATTAAATTTTTATATGCTAATCTCTGCACGTATGATGAAACATTTAAATTCGTAGAAAATAGGACGAAAAGTTTCTCCCCGCTGCGGGAATCGATCCCACGTCTTCGGGATTTCTTTTCTGTACAAATAAATGTCTCAGTTTTAATAAAAAAATCATATTGGCATGTGCATCATGGTTTATTTATTCCCATTTTCCTTCATTAAGTACACGGTATTGTACTCCTCATAAAGACGACTTGTTCTTGTAGGAATAAGTTCAAGTAACTATTATTTTCTTATCTATATATTTCAATCGGTCAATATAATTTCAAGCAACGTGGAAAGAAAGAGTGGGTGCTGCTTTTTTCTCTATGCACCGGGGTCCTTGTCCACCAAGCTACGCCACTCTATACATGTAGGACAAGTATGTACAACATTTGTAAAATAATGATATAAACATTTTAAAGCTATAATTGCACTAAATATCGCATTTAGAAATTAATACTTTTACAACGGAAATAATATAACTATTAATGTCTGAATATGATCTAACATAAAAACTAAACGTAAAATAATTATATCTATCAATAACAGAATGGAGTAATTAAAAAGAAAAGATTTGCTAGAGAAATGAACTCAGTACTTACTTTATTTTAAAAACGTGCAAAGAAACATAAAAATAACTATTTACCCGGATCGGGAAACATCGTAACTCATTTCATGCTCTCAAAGCACGGTCCGCTCAGTGTATTTTATCTATCTATATTTAATGACGCTGTATTACTTAAAGTTTAATATAAACCATGCAATAATTTATTCTGTTCGCGTTAAGCGCGAAAAGAGAACTTAAGCGGTGATACAATATCGGGAATTAGATAAGTACATGTGATGGTGATTGTCTGCATGTTACATCTCGTTGGAAAATGTATAAGACGTTGTTAGTTAACATGGGCTGCATTTCCTTAGAAAATTTGAAAAACGAAAAGTGACTGAAAATATGGGCACGCTGTGAGAAGGGATACAAGTCATATGACTAAAAATGTGTTGAGTGGAAATGAATGTGGTTAGAGGATCTAGAGCAAGAGGAAGAGGGAGAAAAGTTTGGAGAATTTGAATGGATATGTAAAAGCGGTGAAGTCCATCAGATTACGGCTGAGAGAGCAAAGTGGAAGGAAAGAACATATTGAGCCGAACCCACCTAGTGTGGCACATATGCGGAACAGACAGAGGAATCTATATTTAAGTCTAGGTTTCCTGTAAAGCCTGTAAATAACCGTACAATTTTGTTACGACGCTGTGGAGCTAACAATAGTAATGTAGTATACAAAGATAGCAATATAAATATTTTAAGATTGTGGTTAAATAAATACAAATTATTACGAGCGATTATTTATTATTAGGTACATGGCAATATTTATAACAAAACATTTTTACAAATTATCTTTTAAGAATACTGATTATAATATATTTACAAAATTTCCATTTATATAAGTATATTTGTTCTATCTTCCTTCGTATTCCTCTTATACTGGATCATTAGGGTCTATTATGCTGTAAAGAATAAAATAGGGCGTGATAAGTTAACTTAATATTTAAATACAATATATCTATCCAAAACGTGATTAATTTAAGAAATTACCTCGTGCACTACACGCCGGTACGTTTGCTGACCAATCACAGCTCTTCGTATTATAGTTGAATGCTAGGCCGGGTGGACAGATCATCAAGACCAATACTCTGTTGTAGCACATAAGGAACTGGTCACAGCTGCCGCTGCTTGAGGGATAGATTTCACCGTTTCGGCAGTTGGATGAGACAGAAGGAGCATTGGTCGGTGCTTGTGTCTGTGATATGACAGCTGGTGCTGGCGTTACCTTTATTTTCTGTTTCGGTGCTGACGTATCACATGGTTCAGGCACTTTTGGTACTACTTGGGTGGGAGCTGGTGTAGGAGCGGGGGTAGGGGCGGGTGTAGCACAGGGGGCAGCAGTCGAGGGTTCTTGTTTTGGTGTAGTATTGACGCAAGGCTCAGGCACTTTTGGTACTATGTGGGTCGGTGCAGGAGTAGGAGCAGGTGTGGCACAGGGGGCAGCAGTTAAGGGTTCTGGTTTTGGTGTAGTATTGACGCAAGGCTCAGGCACTTTTGGTACTATTTGGGTCGGTGCAGGAGTAGGAGCAAGTGTGGCACAGGGGGCAGCAGTTAAGGGTTCTGGTTTTGGTGTAGTATTGACGCAAGGCTCAGGAACTTTTGGTACTATTTGTGTGGGTGCAGGGGTAGGAGCAGGTGTTGCACAGGGGGCAGCAGTCGAAGGTTCCGGTTTTGGTGCAGATTTGTTGCAAGGTTCAGGCACTTTTGGTACTATTTGTGTGGGTGCAGGGGTAGGAGCAGGCGTGGATTGATTAGGAACACAAGAATTGCAGGGAGCGGCAGTTGTGATACCATGATTTGAAACTGATGTAGGACAGTTGCAAGGCGCTAATTGCGATGGGTTACTTTGAACCGGTATAGATGGCTGTGATATTGGTGCCGGCACTATTTGGATGATTCCATAAGATCTCCAATCTCGATATTGAGGTTTTGATTGAACTGTAAATTAAAAGTAGAATTGAGATGGAGTCCCTAAAAGAAGTCGTTTAATTGTTATTTTCGTTAAATAACTTTAAATTTTTAATATCACTTACCCTGTGTTGTCAAAGCCAATAAAAAGGCAACAAGAAACCTCGTCCAAACCATGATACGAGCAGATTGTGTAATTAAACAAAAGAACTAGGCACAGGCTGACTGTTGCTACTCCACGTAAATAATGTATTGATGTTGAAAAAAGTTCTTGTTTTATATTAAAATGGTAAATGATTTACGTACTTACATTCGCGATTAATCACCTTAGTATAATTGATTACTGTTAATTATCACATTATTTATCCAAATTTTACTGTTAATGTAATGCAATATATGAAAACAAGATGTCTTGTTTGTGGTTAAATAAATATGAAATGAAACTTTTGATTGCTTTAGCTGCTAGGCATCACAGGATGTCAATTTCAAAAGATGAAAATGATAAACTTATTTAAAGAGATAATTTAAAGCAAAAGCTAACTGACACACCGTCTGAACGTAATAAGAAAATTTTTAAATAAAATGTTGTAAAATTCTTATAAATATTTACTAATGTTCATAGTATAATTTTATTACTATTTTATTTCAAGAATTATATTTTACCTATAATTTTTTAGTAAAAACTTTACATGAATCGGGTTATGGTACGAGTGTATTACCAAAAAGAATTATATTCATACAAAACTTTTAGGTTCTAAGGAAAAATAAGAAAAATATTGGAAGAGTTTAGGATTTGAAGTCATAAAGTAACAAAAAAATGTGAAGTTCTTGTGGTGTTTAAATAAAATTTAGTAATATTAGGTCTTTATGTTATTACCTATGAAATTTCCGTTTTGTATGAAATAATTAAAAGTATTTTCTTTAATTTTTCTTTTCTGTTATTCAAAGTAATCACCCGTGCAATCGATGCATCTTTGCCATCGTATTGGTAGTTTATCGATGCCCTTGGACGGGAGGTCAAAGCTGGTTGCAGATGTGACAGCTTCTCCATCATTGTCTTCAGTTATTCAAAGTTAATATCTGTAGTAAAAAGCTGTGATTAATCACACCGGCACTAGACCACCAAACAGAGACCATCAACTTTTTATTATGAATAAAAATGTTCAAATGTAATGAAAATACAAAGCTAATCAATAAACAAAAGACTGATTCTGTAAAAATAATTTCATGTTTTTAAAGAAATTTATCTTTCATTTCGAATTCACAGCCAATCAAAACTTTTTATTGTTTGAAAGGGCCTGTAATGAAGAACGACATAGGTTATAAGTTAAGACCTATATATATCGTAAGATATAGGTGCCTTGGTTCCACGACAAAACGCTCTTATCCGAAAATTACACATCAGTTAGAATTTCGCATAGTCTGAGAAAGAGCGATATGAAAGAAAATAGAGATGAAAATATTCTTTCAATTTGGAAAATCTATACAGTTCTATACATTCGTTCTTCGTGAGGGAGCCCTATATTCAGCAGTGGACTCATACAGGCTGAAATGATGATGATGATATAGATTGAGAAATATCGGTTATTTAACTATCCGTGGATAAAAGTCGACAATTTCATAAATAAGGACCTTTTTACCACTATATATCTAAAGACTTCATCCAAAAGGCCAAATAATAAATTAGCAAAAGAAACAAAAATAGCATCTAAGAATCTTAGAAAAAGAATCTTAGAAAAAGATATATATCTTACGATTTTGACAATATTTAACTATACTATGCTGTTTTACCTCACCGTAATAAAATTAAATTATAAAAATTTTATTCATTTACCTAGGTCTCAGGCGGACCCCAAATCTTGTAAATTTTATTTAACAACAAAAGAACTTAACATTTTTGGTTACCTTATGACTTCAAGTCTTAGCCCCTTCCAATATTGGTTTTAATTTTCCTTAAGAACCTAAAAATGTTGTATGAATATATTATATTTAGGTAATACATTCGATATAGACCTTTGTAATACCTTAACCCAGTTCATGAACAATTTTTACAATAAATAGTTATATAAAATATAATTCTTGTAATAACTATTTTATTGTAATAATAAAATTAACATGAACATCAATAAATATTTATAAGCGTTTTATATATGTTATTTAAATTTTTTTCCTATTACGTTCAGACGGTGTGTCAGTTAGATTTTGCAAAATTTTTAATTTTCATATTTTGAAATTGATATCCTATGATGCCTAGTAGTTGAAGCAATCAAAAGTTTCATTTCATATATTATTTATTTTACTGCAAACAAGACATCATGTTTTTATTGCATTACATTAACAGTAAAATTTGGATAAATAATGTGATAATTAACAGTAATCAATTATATTAACGGTGATTACTCGCGAATGTTAAGTACGCAAATCATTTACCATTTTAATATAAAACAAGAACTTTTTTCAACATCAATACATTCTTTACGTGGAGTAACAACAGTTAGCCAGTACGAGTTCTTTTGTTTAATTACACAATCTGCTCGTATCATGGTTTGGACGAGGTTTCTTGTTGCCTTTTTATTGGTTTTGACAACACAGGGTAAGTTATATTAATAATTTAAAGTTATTTAACAGAAATTACAATTAAACGTCTTCTTTTTTGGACTCTATCTCAATTTTAATTTTAATTTACAGTTCATTCAAAACCTCAATATCGAGATTGGAGACCTTATGGAATCATCCAAATAGTGCCGGCACCGATATCACAGCCATCTATACCGGTTCAAAGTAACCCGTCGCAATTAGCGCCTTGCAACTGTCCTACATCAGCTTCAAATCAGGGTATCGCAACTGCCGCTTCCTGCAATTCTTGTGTTCCAAATCAATCCACGCCTGCTCCTACCCCTGCATCCACACAAATAGTACCAAAAGTGCCTGAACCTTGCAACAAATCTACACCAAAACCGGAACCTTCGACTGCTGCCCCCTGTGCAACACCTGCTCCTACCCCTGCACCCACACAAATAGTACCAAAAGTTCCTGAACCTTGCAACAAATCTACACCAAAACCGGAACCTTCGACTGCTGCCCCCTGTGCTACACCTGCTCCTACCCCTGCACCCACACAAATAGTACCAAAAGTTCCTGAACCTTGCAACAAATCTACACCAAAACCGGAACCTTCGACTGCTGCCCCCTGTGCAACACCTGCTCCTACCCCTGCACCCACACAAATAGTACCAAAAGTGCCCGAACCTTGCGTCAAATCTACACCAAAACCAGAACCCTCGACTGCTGCCCCCTGTGCCACACCTGCCCCTACTCCTGCACCGACCCAAATAGTACCAAAAGTGCCAGAGCCTTGCGTCAAATCTACACCAAAACCAGAACCCTCGACTGCTGCCCCCTGTGCTACACCCGCCCCTACCCCCGCTCCTACACCAGCTCCCACCCAAGTAGTACCAAAAGTGCCTGAACCATGTGATACGTCAGCACCGAAACAGGAAATAAAGGTAACGCCAGCACCGGCTGTCATATCACAGACACAAGCACCGACCAATGCTCCTTCTGTCGCAACCAACTGCCGAAACGGTGAAATCTATCCCTCAAGCTGCGGCAGCTGTGACCAGTTCCTTATGTGCTACAACAGAGTGCTGGTCTTGATGATCTGTCCACCCGGCCTAGCATTCAATTATAATACAAAGAGCTGTGATTGGTCAGCAAACGTACCGTCGTGTAGTGCTCGAGGTAATTTCTTAAATTAATCACCTTTTGGATTGATATATTGTATTTAAATGTTGTCTACTTATCACGCTCTATTTTATTCTTTACAGCATAATAGACCGTAATGATCCAGTATAAGAGGAATACGAAGAAAGATAGAACAAATATACTTATATAAAGTGATATTTTGTAAATATGTTTTAATCATTACTCCTAAAAGTTAATTTGTAAAAATGTCTTGTTATATACTACTAATAAATAATCGCTTGTAATAATTTTTATTCTTTAACTATAATCTAAAAATATTTTAATTCCTATTTTTATGCACTATATCACATTATAAATTGTAGATACATAGCTTTGTAACAAGGTTGTACAGACATTTACAGCCTTTATTTTATTTGGGAAACTTACGCTAAAATCAATGAAATAGTTAACAACTACTACTCTGCTTACGTTCTAATTGCCGAAAAAACATTGTAACATTAAAGAAATGTGCAACATATCTGCATGTTGTTATATTCTTCGGTTGACCTGACTCAGATGTCAACCATAGAAGGTTGTGGAGAAGATTGCGTTGTTGGATTAGGTTATTTATGTCAAAAAAAAAGTTAAATATATGGCTCAAAAGTGTCGTGAAATAATAATCAAGTCAAATGTTGCTCTAACTATGTAAATTAACGTTTAATGTTAGCTGTAGCAGATTCTGCTTTAGATGAACGGGCATTCTAGTGTAGGAAAGTACCAAACCACGGTCTCAAAGAAACCATCATCAATTGGAATTATTATAATTTCGCATTTCGTCTGGTGAAATAAGTAATCGACGCCCGATATTTTAAAAGCTGATAAACTTTAAAAAACGCAACGTATGTCTCAGATGTTGTTTTCCATGGACAGCGTTAAACACTTAACACCAGAAACACCAGTGAGAATACCCCCTGCTTGCTTTACAACTTTTTTTAAAAGGTAGGTGCTCAAATGAATATGGCCAGAGGTGTCATATTTTTGGATGAATTTTGTCACGTGGACATGATCCGCGTCCCGTCTTAGTCCCTTCATTTTCATAAATAGTTTCTTCTGACAATAAAAGGTGTCTATGAGCAATAGGATTTAGGCTTTTTATTTAATCTGTCGACATCTGTCGAGCTTGTCGCCATCCCGGGGAGTCCCTTCGGCATGTTATCTCCGGTTGTTCCATGCTTTCTAACTCTGTGTATCTGCATAGACACAACCTAGTAGCCAGAATTCTACACCAGGAGCTCGCTCTGAAATACGGCCTCGTGGAACGGAAAACTGCCGTACTATAAGTACTCTCCGGAGGCCGTGCTCGAAAATGACCGCGCCAGGCTCTATTGGGACCGGTCCATCATCACGGACAGGACGATTGTCGCAAACAAACCTGATATCGTGTTGATGGACCGGGCACAGTCGCGGGTATTTTTGGTCGACATTACCATTCCATATGACGAGAACCTCGTGAAAGCCGAAACAGATAAGAAGACAAAGTATCTGGACCTGGCTCACGAGGTGACCGACATGTGGGGTGGTGTGCCGACCGAAATTATCCCAATAGTCGTATCTGCGAATGGGTTGATCCCAGCCAGCCTCTCCGGACATCTGAGGCGACTGGGACTCCGGGACGGAACGCTCCAAGCCCTAATGCAGAAAGCGGTGCTCCTCGATACCGCCCGCATCGTCCGCCGGTTTCTCTCCCTTTCACCCTTTACGAAACGTCAAAATTTTACAAGAAATTAACACGTTCGTAAGTTACCACCG